GGTTTAACAAGATTTCGAAGATTTTCTCGGCTGTGTCACGCTGATATTGCTTCTTGGCTATGACACAGTTCAGGGCTGTCCCTTCCAAGTTACTGGTGAGCGCACTGCATTTCTGTCTCTCTGACAAATCCTCTTCCTCGAAATGCAATTTCATTACCTCTATCCAGGTATCAATACAGCCATCAGATTCGTCTTTATAGCATCTTGGTTTCTTAAAGACTCTTCTGGACTTCTCACTGCGTTCATTGGTTCTGGATAACCTTGTAAGGAATGCCTCCAAAGACCTGTTTAGGGGTTCAAAGGCCGTGGCCATTGCCGTAGCATCCCTTGAGTGTCCCGCTTGAGTGTCCTCACACCTTGTCAAAGGCTCTGTATGCGGTGCATCCCTGCAATCCGAATCGCCGTGAGTGCTTCCCCCTTAGCCCACATGACTCCTCCCCGTGCTTGCATGCCCTCTGTTACCGGAATCACTTCTCCCAGTCGCATGTGTGCCTTGCGTTGGTCGTTCATTAGAGGTCTGTCTGTTCCCCGTTGAACTTGCTCTACTGTTCGGGCCCCATGTTCTATTACCCCTTGTGGTATAGCCTGATGAACTGCCCCTGCCTCTAGTGGATCCATATGTCCTCCTCTTTTGATGGTCATTGAAGTTCACCTTCGGCTCCCTGCTGGGACCTCCCGAGTTCGGTTCCCCTTCTTTTGGTCCACTCTTGCTGCTTAGTAGCCCGTCCAACCTATCCATGATAGCCTGAGTTCGCCTCTCCATCATCGCGTCTATCTTTGTGTCAAGAGTCCCAAGAGACTGCTCTTGCTGAATTCTCAACTTCTCCATGTCGGCTCTTAAGCGTAATTCTTTCTGTTCCGCTTCTCTTGTCATTCGCGACAAGTTCTTCGCTATATGCTCGTCCGGTCTTTCTTTCAAGCGTTTTTCGCTCCTACCAATTTCTTGTCTATTGCGGTTTATTTCTTCCCGCAGGATTTCTCTTTCAATGTGAACTGCTCTTTCTAGTTCACTCATTCTTATGGACATCTGTTCATTTTGTTCACCTAAACTGTCCACTACGTTGTTCAAGGCTTCTTCTAGTGCTGCCCCGTTATCCACGAGTGGCGTCGCTAGTGGCGGTGCAACCCTGTCGGTCCCAGGTAGCTTCGTGCTGGTCGAGATTCGGGCCTTGACTCTCTGCCTCGACCTCTTTTCATTATCCACCTCGGGATCCGCCAATGCGTTGCCTAGCCCTCTGTTTCTACTCTCCCCAGTTTGCGGCTCTGAATTTGTCATAATCGCGAAGCCTCTCGACTGGCCCGGTGTGTTTACCTCTTCGTTTATCGTCCTCACCAAACCAAATTTGTCCATGGTTCCAGTCTCTCTTTCGACGTATGCCTCATTCTCCTGGGTCGAACTATTGAGGCTGACTTGAGACCCAAAGTCCACTTGCTCTTCTTCGTCGTCCTCCTCCTCCTGGGATTCACCTTCATTTTCTGTGCCCCCTCCCATGGTGAATGGAAAGATGTTTCCTAAGGTGTTCCTCATTCTTTCTGAGAACGATGATGACGTTGTTTGTTTCTCACTCCCGCCTGCCATCGTAGTGTTGTCTGCTGGAGATCTTCTAGTTGCCGCTATTTCAGTTGAGATGTCGGACAGTTCCGACATCTCCTCTCGATCTAATGTCCCGGTGGAAGTGGCAAAATAATGGCCTTGTTCTACCGGAGTAGATTCACTCGCCAGCCTTCTGCCTCTCCCTTCCAGTCCATGTACTTCCTGGTTATCGTTCATGGCATGGTCCGTATTGACCTCCACTTCTAACAGTTCTTTTTGCTCTTCTGAGGTCTTCTGACTACTTGTTTCAACCATTCTGCCTGAAACCGTGTCCCCTTTGTCGGTCCGGGCTCGTTTGATCCAATCCACAAAAGGATCGGTCATTGTTTTTCTTTGCTTTTTAGGTATGAATTTCCTAGAGCTATTACCTCGTTTAGGTATCCTTGACTTGTCTAGACTCATTCTCAATTTGTCACTTCTTAATGCCTATACACTTAATTCGATTGCTAGTGACCTTATAGTTTGACTACCAATAATAATGACACAACACAATAAATTCCACAAGATTCTATTAAATAGTGACCACCAATCCCTGTATGTTACCAGAGTACAGAATGTATATAATTTATTCACAATAACCGATTATCGGTCGTAAGATTTGAGAACTAGCACAATATGATGGTATCAGTCAATTTAAAATATAGTGTACTCACTACCCAATCAAGCACAGTTTATGTAGTTTTAAAATCAAAAACAAAAAAAATATGTAATGACAGAATATGAATACCTCTATAAAAAAACACTTATGTGTATTGTACTTTTAGTCGTCGCAGTACAATAGTGAACTTGTTTTTTTTCTTTTTTAAAGAAAAAGCTTTCCCTGCTCGGTGCTGCACCAAACAGACAAAACCTTGAAGTCAGTAATTTTCTCAAGTGGGCGTCTATTGCACCCACCGAGTACTGTGTTACCTATCTGCCTTCGGACTGCCCGAGCTAGATCTACTACAATCTTCAGGGCAGTCACTTTTCACAAAAACGTATTGGGTTTCAATCCACACCAATGAATTACGTTCTTTTTAGTTTAGACTTAGTGTCGCGAATATCCGAGTTCGGACCTGTTTTGTTTTGGTCTGGTTTTTATTGAAAGGCAAGTTACCAGTGCAGTCACTGATTCTTAGCTTGTCTGCTAATAACCTAATACCTCTCACTTTAGTCTTTCTACCGTTTATCTAAGTCCTTTAATAAAATAATACCCCTCCGGATTGGAAAAAATAAGACCCTTCCGGACTAACAAAATTTAGACCCCTCCGGATTGGGACCCCTCTGAGTTAGTAAATATAACACCCCTCCGGATTGGGACCCCTCCGCATTAGCAAATATAAGACCCCTCCGGATTCGGATCCTCCTAATTTGAAAAAAAAATTTGACCCCTCCGGATTGGGAGCCCTCTGGTTTGTAAAAGTAGCTTTTCGGAGATTTCCCTCTTTCAACCTATACCCCTCCGGATACGTTCTCCGATGCAATTTTGCTTTTTCAATTAACTAGGAAGGGTATGTAATGCTTTCCTAGACCCTTGCGGATTGAAGTTAAGCCTTTTATTTGACAATTCACGCTAACGGTGAAGGGTCTTATCGCTCGCCTAACTTCGGCTCGATTAAGGTTTTCCTGTGCCTTTAGCCTTCCTTTTTTGTCTAGAACAGCCTAAAATTACTTTATTCAACCGCTTGGTAGGGGTGTAAGGGCTTTTCTAAAAAAAATTATAAAACGTGAAGGGTCTACCCTCTCAAATTGGTGAATTTGCTAAAAACAATCTCAAAAAATTTTCACGCTTACTTTTTGAAAAACTTTTGTCCCTATCAGTAAGTTCAGCTAATTTCTGATCTATTGGAACCAAGAGCAACTGGATATGCCCAGTAGTTCTAAAATTATTAACCAAAACGTCTTTTTTCTAAAGTCAAAAAATTTGTCTCTTATAGGTTCCGCCTAACTTTTTCCGCAATTCTGTTCTTTTCGACCTAAAAATTTTTGATCCGAGCTCAGAAGGCCTACACTCTTCTATTTCAATGCAAAAGACTCGATCTAAAACGCTTTAGTTGAAAAAATTTTCGGAAAATTTTGCTACCTGTATCCCTCCGGATTGATGAATCCACCAAATCAAACACGTTAAGTTCGATTTTTCTGCAACCCGGAAGGTTTTCGGGAAGCGGGTTTTAAAACTTGTAGATTCACTAGTGGACGTTGTCCGAACAACTATTTTTACTGTTCTAACTCAAAAATTTCTAAAAAAATTTTCTGAATTTATATTGTTTCGTTTTCTCAAAAATCACGAAAATTCGGTTTTTGGTTCCAAAATAGTTCCAACCACTTCCGAACTAAACTTAACCGGTTCTATCTATTATGGTAGTGCAGTTACGATGTAACACACTACTGCAGCGCTTTTTCAAAATTTATCGATCTCTCAAAAATCGCGACTTGTGGGAGGATCAAAATATCGCTATTTTGACCCTAAAAACCGGTCTGCTTTCTGTGTTTTTCACCGAAAAACGATATAGGAGTATTAATATAGGCTATATAAGTAATGATATTATTAATACTATACACCTCCGGGTTTGTTCAATATCCGAATTAGGGTGCTTAACTCGGATATTCGCAGTTCGGTGAAGGGTCACTACAGTGCAGCACTGTCGAGCCCCCCACATATTACTATCTTACTTTTTGTACCAAAAGGGATACAAAACTTGTTAACGATACACAGCAGTAGATTGTTGTTTTGTTGTCGTTGAGCCCCTTCTTGATGCTCCTTGTACTGCTTGCCGGATCAGTCTTCTCCCAAGACACCTCCGGATTGAGCGCAAATCAGCTGACCCTTCCAGATTGAACGCAATTTATCATTAACGTGCTTAAATGCTCAAATAACCCTACAGTACAAGCCTCACAAGCGGGCTACAAAATTGATCGTAACGATCCTGACTGATATAAATGCCTGTAACACCAATATATCTATCAACAACAAACGGCAGGGTCGGATCACATATTGTCTGGGGGGATGATTTCTACTGATTTTTTACTTTTTTATTGTTTTTGGTTTTTTCGGTTATTTTTTCATGTTTTTTGTTTTTCTTGGGTAATATACTACTTTTTGTTTGGTTTTATATATATCTTCAAGTGTTTTTGGTCACAAACCTCTGAGGGAACGACGGGACCGCGATCCCCCCACCCTTCCTGGTTCTTGAATTTTCGGTCTTAACTAGGTTAAAAAGCTATTCACGGTAATCCGGAAGGCTTCCGCGTTCCGAACTACCCTTCCGCCCCGGCGGTTTAGGCCTACTATTAAGGGCGTTATTGTGAGCATCCGTTAAAGGTTCTGCCGGTCATGATGTTAAAAAAGAGTAACACCCAGGAGCGCCATAAAAGCCATCTATGTAACATTCGCCCGGAAGATACATATCGACGGAAAATAAAACTAAGTCCTAAGACGACTGGCTAACGTCTAAACAGAGCTTTACATGTTTTTAACCGTCTCTACCAAGCCAGTACTTTCGGTGGTCTTTCTAACATCGGAACGACAAAAACGTTACTGCTTTCGGCTTCGGTCAAAACACTCAAATTAACTTAATTACATGCAGAAATAGTGAGCTCAGGGCTGGGTCTCAGTATCCCCAGACCACGAGGTATCTCCTAAAATCAGGGCTACTACTATTTTTTGAATTATTATTGTTTTTGATCAGTAGATAAAAATCATCATCTCCATCGAAGATGGATCAACCCTTTCCCCCAACTCCTAGCTTCTCATCTTAGCAAAATGAATTTAGATGTCAATTAAATTCAACTCAGGACATGCAGGGAAGCTAAAAGTTTATATAAGTTAATGAAAGTTCCAGTCCCGAGACACCTCCGGATTCCTGAATCCGGGGAATTAAGGCTCTCATATTCCTTTCGGAAGGCTGGTTTTCCACCCTTCACTGTTGTTCGCAACGGCCTTGCAACTATTGTAGCGACACAATAGTTGCAACTCGGAGCGGTCTCTGCTACTTCTGCAATTAGTCGTTGTTTTTCAAGCACAATTCTCATTGTTCACGCTATCGCAACTAATGTTGTTGTGTTTTTCTTCCGGTTTTCTGCCAAAATGGCCGTTTCTGACGTTTTTCAGAAATATGACGTCATACTTCGAATTTTTAAAATTTCAAAATACCAGAATATCTTGACCTTCACCGTTTGACCAATTGTCCCAATAACGTCGTTAATCGCTTAGAACCGTCAATTCGGAAGGTTAGCGGCTAATAATTCGAAATTGCCGAATCTGCATTTTCGTCCATTCTGGTCGAATGTCACAGACCGTCATTAGTTCCATGCAGTCATCTTCTTTGCAAAGTGCTGGAACTAGTGCCGGTCACGCCCTCGAAGTATCCGACGAGCAAAAGTTTTCTTAGCACCTTTCCGCGTGCGAAGAAGCTGGCATCTCGTTTGTGCCCCTCTCTGTCGAGGCCTTTGGCGGGTGGTCATCCATTGCCGCTAAAACCATTCATCGCATTGCTTCGATGGCAGCAGCGCGCTCTGCCTGTGCCGACCCCTGGTAAGATGCTTGTTATCTTATTCAACAGCTGTCAGTTGTCCCGCAAAAAGGGAACTCCACCCTCCTCCTGTCCCGGTACTGCTCAGTGTTTTTTCTGTTCTATGCAAATGTGGTAATTTTTTTTCTGTGTATCTGGCGTCCTTGTAAATTTGTTTCTGTTATTTTGTATGTATGGCGTTTTATAAGCCCGCGGGTAAACGCCAAGCGCCTGAATTCAACGCGAGTGTTATTTCAATGATGTCAAGAAAAACAGTTGAACTGGGTCCTAAAGGGTACGTATTTCATCCACGGCACTGCGTCAAAACAAGTATTTTTTCGGAATTGGAAAGAATTGAATTGAAATGTTCTATCCTCAATATGGTAAGTCTTAATTTGATGTTTTTATTCCAGAAATACTTGAGCAACTAATCTGAAAACCTGGACTAATCTTTATCATAAATTAACTGTATTGATGCGAAGGCTTTTATACAGTAATTGAAGTGTTCTTTCTTTTTCATAATAACGTTTGAGAAAAAGACTTAAAACGACCGACCGGTGCATGTTGAGTTAGTTAGTTGCGGTATTTGCCTAATTTAGTGTGATTTGGGATCTCTCATGGTTTTTACCGGGAGCCTTTTATCACACCTGTAACCATAATGATCGAATATCGATTAATACTGGTGTATGCCAATTTGCTAGAGGTGATCGATGAGAATGTTGTCTATGTGAACTAATGGCGTACACTGCTCAGTGGATTCATTTCCTTTTTGAAAAAAAGGTCGCACATCGTGATGGATATACTCTATACAAAGTTACTGGTTTTCGCCAATGCAGTAGCGTTTCGGGAATTGGAGATTGTGTCCAGAAAGCAACGATATGGCAGCGATACAGCAAGTTCTTGGAGTTTGAAAAACTGTTGAAAGATGTGTTTAAAAATAACGCTGTGTTGAATGATGCTCCGTTTCTAAAGAGGCCTGCAGCGTTTCGCCTCATTGCGAAAAACGAAGTGAATGAGCGAATGCGCAGTTTGGAAACCTTATTCGATTTTATTTCCTCAGTTCAATCACTCGACCTAACAAATCTTCTCGACAAGTTTTTCAACTTCGAAGTGTCACAAGACAATATTTCTGATGAAAATGATTTATCTCAAAGTTCTAGATCAATTGATAGTTTATCCAGCGTGCCAGAGATGCATCATGCTCCCGAAATTGTAATCGATGAGTCCATCTCAAATGAAAAGAAAAATTTGCCTGAACTCGGTGATCATGTTTATGGAAAAACCGTTTCCGGATCTTTGTACGACCGAAGAAACCGCGGAAACAACCTGCAAACTGCATCGCTGGACAATCTATCAAGTGAAACACTTAGCAGTTCTACATCACCTAAGTATGTTAGATTTCAAGTATGCCAGTTTTTTTTAAAGGAACCGGAATCAAAATCCCACCAATCTGCTGGAATTTCACTAAAATTTTTTTCTCTACACTGCAAATGCCAGTTTTTTCCTTAACATTCACTTTCATTGCTTCACCTGATTTCGGATTATTCAAGTCAACATAGATATCTATGTTTGCTCGATGTTTTAAGCAGTTGAAGGTAGTCTCCATATAGAATTGAACTAATTGTTTGCTCTTTCGCAAATCAAAAGTTTTTCTCATCTTTTTTTACACCAGCAAGCTTTGTGTTATTTTTGAGTCCATTTTCCTCCGATTTAAGTTGCCTAAAATAGCGCTCATTTTGGTGGTAATTTTGTAGCATAGGATTGGCGGTTTAAAAGCATGTGTTCTCCGCTTAATCAGTGGTCAGTCTTTGGGTTCTCTAAGCAGTTGTGTGTGTAGTACAGTTGACTTGAATGCTTGAGGCCCATGGTTCGATTCTGTAGAGGGCGTTTTTTTTTCTTCAAAACTTGATTTAATTTTTTTGTTTTATCTTTTTAAGGCTACTTGTTTTGCGGTAAACAGCTTCGCCTCTGTTTAAACAAAGAATTTCTTATAAAAGTTTTGTCTCGTTTTCCTTTAAAGCTTATGAGAGTTATATATTTAAGCATTTTGTGCAAGAAAGATTGATGTTATTCTCAATTCTCGTTCAAATTGTCTCTAATTGAATGGGAATCGTCTGGCCATGCCTAAGCCAGTTTGAGATGTCTATGTATCAGTCGTTCACTCAAGTCACACATGAGATTGAGAAAAATAGGCCCTATAGCCATTGAGTAAAGGGCCAGGGACACTTTAGCTTGTGATTTTGTACCTCAATCAGCAGTCGGAGCTAATTCACGGTTCGCTTATGACATGAAGTTAAGGATCGCTAACGCTCAAAGGCCACAACCAAAATACCCCCCATTCTAGATAGGAATAAGTACGCCCCCATTTAAGTTTTCAATTAAAAACTTGGGTACCTTCGGGGTTGCAACTTTGGCTTTCAATTCTTGTGCTCACTTCCTTTTTTGTCTGCGAGATAAAACGTTTTTTTACGATTTTTTTCAATATTTTTTCAAATTAACAATTTTTCCAAATATAAAAAATGATATATGTTCAACCCTATAATTGGGTTTTGTCTGATGCTCTCAGAGATTGCCAGTTGGCCTTCAAAATTAACTGCTCAAATCATTGTGGTTTTCGGTGTGTTGCGTTTTATAATGGTTTTCTCAGTTTTGAAAATTTTGATTTAAAAAAAACAACAGAATGAAATTCTCTACCCTCTTTACATTCAGGTTGTAAATCTGGCCTTGAAATTTTGTAGTTTAAATCTTTTTGCTATCGAGATTTGGCGTTTTTTATGATCTCAATTTTATAAAAAAGACTTCGATTTAAAATAACAAACAAAACTTGAAATTCGAAACCCTACGATTGGGAGATGTCGGGGTGCACTGCATATCTGGCCTTCAAGTACTACTACTTGAATCCTTTTTTTCCGAGATATTTCGTTAATAATTTTTTTGAATTTTTTTTGATATAAAGTAATAAACGAAACTTGATATTCTCAGTGGTTGAGTGTTGCTTGGTACACTGCAAATCTGACCGCCTTTTGCTTTTTGAGATATGGCGTTTTCTTTAATGATTTCTTAAATGTATTTTTTAAAAAAAAATACCTTAGAAACCTGACAAAACTCGCAAAACTCTGGTGGCGTGCAGCCAATGTACACTCAGGGTTCCAAATCTGGCCTCCAAATAAAAATGCTGAAATCCTTTGGTTCCCGAGATACGGAATTTTTTATTTTATATTTTTTTTCTAATAAAGTTTAGATTGAGAGCCACTAACAAAACATGAACTCCTCTGTTTTTTTTTTGTGGTGCACTGCTGGAATACACTCAGGTGTTGCTAATATGGCCTCAACTGCTGAAATCTTTTTGGTATCCGAGATCTGGAGAAAGTTTTTCAAAGTTGTTTTCCTTCATTTGTCAAAAACTCAGATTCAAAGATCCTTTCAAAGCATGGTGGGGTGCTGCCAGTTTACACTTAGGGATTGCAAATCTGGCCTCCAAATATTTCTGATCAAATCTACTTGGTTTCTGAGATTTGCGTTTTTTATAAATTTCATTGGTGTTTCAAAAAAATAACAAAAGTTGAAATTTTCCACCCTAGGTTGTGGTGCTGTCAGAGTACTCAATGCGGTTGCACTATTGGATTTCCCAGTTTTTATTCTGGGAGGTATGATACTTTAATCAATTTTTTCAAAGTTTTCCCCAAACAAAAAAAATGTTCAAAAAAAATTGATGTTAGAACTTCAATCTTTTTCAAAAATATGAAAAAGCAGCTGTATGCTGTCGACCTGTTTAAAGGGTATTTAAAAAAGTATTCAGAGACCTGATGAAACTTAGTAGTTTTAGAAAATAAGTCACTTTGGTGAAAAAACTAAGTTGACTTTGTAAATGGTTCACTACAAGAAGAAAACATTGATGGATTGGCCGATTGCATTAAATTGACGATTGCATTAAATTGACGATTGCAATAAATTGACGATTGCATTAAATATCGTTGTTTTTGTATTTAATTTCTTTAAAAACTCTATAGTCTCTGTAGTACTTTTTAAAAAAAGAGATGTGAACTGATTTTCAATGAAGAGCTGTTTAAGAGTAATGAACGTAGTGAAGACTCTTATATGGGTCTTGCTGATTTTTTGTTTGTTTATTTTTATGCTGTTTTTTTTTTCATTAATTTTGCAGTTTGGGTGTCTGAGTTTCCAAAGAAAGCATTGAAAGTTTCTTGTCTTGTTTATTGCTCCCTTTATTGTCTTTTTATTTATGAGAAAGTTAAGCTATTTGGTTTTTCGGAAACATCAAAAAAGTTAAACTTCCGATTTACTTTTTCTTGATAAGTTTATCATTAAGATTCTTTGTACTGTTTAATCTGCTGAGTTTATGACTCATTATCGAGCTTCTCCGCGTTTAGTGTCTTTCAGCTAGTACGGCGTTTTTTAAAGAAAAAGTTATTATAGTATTCAAAATGTGAAACGAAGCTTTCTGCAGCAATTTTTTTCTTCAATATTTTCATTGGAAAGAATTTGTTTTCACAAAAATTTTTGTGATTTATTTCTTTTCTATGGCTTTACAATTGTTGCAATGAATTTTTAATAAAGCCTCGCAGCCATTTAATCTTTTCTAAATAAAGAAGTACTCAATGGTTTGTTACTTTCCTCTTTAACAAACGGCTATTCAGTGATTTGTATTTTGTTGTCATGTAGTTTTTGTTAAGTTTTCCAGTGATTTTTTATTCGTTTTGCAGTGATGTGTTTTCGTTTTAGATGAAGCTTTAGAGCGATTTCTTCCCTATTTTTAACTGTATAAGTTTTGCAATAATTTTGTTCTTTTTGATTTTGTTCCAATGCGCAGCAAGTGTTGGTTGATAGCGTTATCATTCTGATCCTTTGTGTTTTTGAATTGGCCTCATCAAAAAATTTTTCTGAAAATTGCAAAAGAACACACCCGGTGGTATTTTTTTCACTTCAGAGAAAAAAAACATTTTGCTAATTTTGACTTGTCATCTCATGCTTATGCTATGTTTTGTTAAATTAGCGTCTATTCTCAGACCTTTCGAAGGCTTGCCACCCGATGCTTGCAGCGGATATTAGATATAAATAAAATATTCTAAAGTGTTTTTCTTAGAATGGTCATAACTAATTTTTTTCCGAAAATAAAAGAAAAATAATGGTTGTTTTTCCAAAACTTGAATCACACAGTAAAATAAGTAAGCACTCGAATATTAAGATATCATAAAAAAGATGATCAATCAAACCTAGATAAAGACTCAATTTGTCTTTATCCAGGTTTGATTGATCTTTTTTTTATAATATCTTAATATTCGAGTGCTTACTTATTTTGCTGCATGATTCAAGTTTTGAAAAACAACCATTATTTTTCTTTTATTTTCGGAGAAAAAACACTTTTGAAAATTCTTTATATCTTCGAATCTTGATTGATTTTTTTCTTAACATCATCTGTATCGCCGAAGCAGTTTTTTCTCGGACATCCTTTTGACCATTACAATTAAAGCCCTGTACTTCTTTCATTTTCAAAAGTTTTTTTCCTGAAAAAAATATGAAATTTATATTGCACTGTCTTTTTGAGTTTACATAGTGTCTAAGTCACTATTGTAACTTGTATTCAAGCTTTGTTCGCTTAAACAGTAGTATCTTTCGAACTCGGGAGATATAAATGTGATTTTTTGACAAAAAATAGGGTGTTTCATTGAGCTTTTTTTAAACTTTTATAATTTTTTTCCGTATATTTAACATCCTGTCAACAGTATTTTGCGCTCTTCAAGGTTTTTGCCCTAAGCTTCTGGTTAGAGCTTCTTTTGATTGCAAAGCAGTTTTATTCCAATCAACGAAATCATAATCTATGATGAAATTCATTTCCTTCTTAAATTTTTAATGCAGAAAATTCGCTGAAACACTTGTTTCATGTAAAAATTCTCCAGGAGATTCACGAAGTAATCGGATTCATGTTGTCAAATTGACATGCTATCAAAGTTTTCTTTAGGCTGTCTACAATCAAAATTTTCAGATAAATAAGCCGTTAAGTGAACAAGTTAATCGATAGAGCCGGCTACGAGCACTTACGACTTGCGAACTTTGGGTCAAAATTAAGTTTATAACAGTTTTTTTTGCAGAAATTTGGTTTTTGTTGTAGCATTTTCAAATGTTTGATTGTTAGCATGGTCACAAAATGGAGGGATACTACAGAAGGTGTTCATCACCAGATAATAGGTAATCTGATTTTTAAATGATCAACAAGCATTTTTTATTTTTCTTTAAATTTTGTTACAAAATTTTAAGCCATTTTATATATTGAGTTGAACAGCTTGTAAAACAATTTTCACAATTGATGCTACAAAAAAGAAAAATATCTGGGTTTCTTTCGTGGGGAGACTAATGAAGGTTGCAATTAACGTTATCGAATCGGAATATAGTTTTTGTTTTCAGGTTTAGAACTTGTTTAGTAAAAGCAGCTGAATCACTTATGATGCTGCTGAAAGGCTCTAATTCATGAAAATTCAATTTTAACTACTGGGTACTGGTTACTACTGGTAGATGCTATATCACGAAATCGCATGTATACTTACAAAGTTACGATAATTGTTTTCTGCTGATGATTGTTCGGCTTCATGGTGGTCGACTTAAGCTCTGTCGCTTTAGTTTCCAAATTATGCAGTCCTTTCTGCTTACGATACTAATATAGCTATCATGGATCCTCTGTGGACGTTACGTGCAGTTTTTTCGATATGTTTTTGACGAAATTTTTGGCTGAATTTCAGTTTATTGGCTGTCGGCTTATTTGCCTGTTTTTCCCCTTATAATATCCGTCCTTTTTTTATAGATCAATAAGACACTGACATCAATTTTAGACCACCCACAGTCACAGTTAGCCCACTAAGATATATACTAATAGTAGATATTTTTTGTTTATTTTTTTTTTCGTTTTTCTTCCTTCGTCAATTAGAAGTTCTGTTTGCTATTTTTTGTATTTTATGAGCGTCATGGTGGTTTCATCGTATCGTTGTTGTGTTGCAAGTGGTGCAAAGTTCAGCTTTGCCTCTGTGTAAATTTTGACTTTGAGTTTATTTAGCTCAATTTCGGACATTCTTTCTTTTCCGCCAACGGGCGTCTACACAAGTCTTGTCGGCTTTTTGAGAATTTCAATGCAAAATTTTTTTCAATGCTGAATTAATGTTGGTAGCGTATGGTTTTTCCGATGTGATTTCCCTTAAACTGAGTTTCAATAATCCTTGAATACCAAGTTTTTCAATATGAAGAAGGACACTTAATTTTTGTTAATTTTAAAAGCTTTTATTCAATCAATTTCGGTTTCTTCTTTAAGTTTTGGTTTCAAAATAGTGTTTGTGTTTTGGTGGGAAATTAGATTATCTAGGAATATCTACTGTTGGTTGTATTTTAGGAAGTTGTGTACATTATCGTTAACGTTTTTTCGCAATTGTTTTTTCTATTCTTGCGATTAGCAAGCGTAGTCATATCGGATAAAAGCATTTTTTTCGGGCTATTATCACGGGTATGTATAATCACTTGAATCCGTTGGCATGACTTTATGATGGAATGACTGTTCCTACCGATAGTTATGAGCATGTTTGCTTTCAGATAGCCTTACAATTTTTGCTGTTTACTCGTTTTAAGGTTGCCTCGGCCTAATTATTTTGGGCTCATGATATTATGGTTGCCATATCTGTTTAGTTGCTAAGTAACGTGTCGCTTGAAGGATCAAATAATTTTAAAATTGATTAAAAATTTGGCTTCCGAAGGGAGTGAAGTTTTTTATAGCTCAAAACTGTTTGCATTAGGCGCAACAGTCGTCTACCCAAGTTGTGTCTTTTCATTTACCGCTTGATTAGTTTTGTTTCTCAAAATTAGTTTGAGATGTGCATTTGTGTTTCTCGGCATTTTCTTCAATTTGAACCGCATTCGAGACAAACTTATATATCGGCTTAGTGCCTTTCGTACTATTTTTTCCGGCAAACTCCAATGCTTTTTTTTACTGTATCGCACGTGCTCTAGTGTAAAAGCAAAGACATGACATTATTTTGTGTTTCAAAAAATATTTCATTGAATATGAAACCACAGTCTCAATATTATATTGTCAACATTCAGATTTTTTTAAAATCCCTTAGTCTAGATAGCAGGAAAAAGTTGGAACTACATTTCGCAATTAATTTTTTCCCGATAGCCGCCTTGCACAGTTTTGATTTATGATTTGAGCTATTTTGCATGTTTAGTAGCTGTTTTTACTTCGTTTTGGTCAGGTTAGTTATCTAATCGATAAATAGTTGAAGAGTTTTTGCAGTTTGCTTTCTTTCGAGTCTAAAACTTTATCAATTAAGAAATTCAAACGAACACTTCTTGAGATTACTAATTGTCGATCCTTATTTGAACTCTAGTTCCGTATGCATTTAGTTCCGAAACTTGAGTCATTTTTAACGCGATTTTAACACTGTCACTGGATTCGCAGTTCATATAGAAACAAATTTTGCTTGCACGTGATTTTCAGTTTTGCTGAATCAATTTTAAAGTAAATTTGTTTTAGCTCATCTTACAGCGACCTGTCATCAGAAACATCCTCTCTTAGCACTGGAGTTGAAAGCATAGATTCGCCAGAATACTTGAATTGTTCTTCCTTTTTATTTGCGAACAAAGTTCTTGTCCGAGATTGGCTCCAAGCTGCTTTGGTTGAGGCTAATTCTTTAAAACAAGCAACTAGCCTTAAGAGCTCATCTGGTTCTGCGATTGATCTTCTGAGAAATGACTGCCTTGAACCCTTAGATGCGAACGCTTTTTACCCTAAGAGTTCTTATCTAGCCCAGGCTGGACATTACATTAAGGTTGCTAATGAATATGAAAGTTGCGGAGAGTTGGAAAATGCGTTTTATGCGTACAAAAGTTGCATTGAGATTCTGCTCATAGGCGTGGCAACTGAAAAGGATCCTGATAAACGTGCTTGTGTTAGTGACAAGGTTACAGAATACATAACTGTTGCCTCTCAAATTCTGCTAAACTCTCTTTTACCATTGTACAATGAAGATGGAGGTTTGTGGCGTGAACACTTAATCAGTTCAAACCCCAATTTTGATCACCTTAAACGACCCCTAAGTGAACTTAATTCGTACCGTGTTTTCAAAATTCTAAATCAAAGTGTTGTAGTTTTTGATGACCTGGGTGCTAAATATATACTCCGTGTCATACCAAAATGTGCCAATAGGTCATTCAGATTCGACAAATGTCCGCCGCAGCTTGATCTGATGTCAAATATTTGCAGTGTATACGAATTAGAAAATGTTTGGGTATTTTGTCTCGAGTATATAATGGGCGAATTGTTAATAACCAGAATGCAGCCCGATCACGGAATCTCACTTGTTGAAACTCCAGAAAATCTGGACAATGGCTTGATGTTTGTGCCGAATGAAACTGAACTAGAAAATGGCGCTGAGAAAAAGCAAACTGAAAGTATCAATCGAGTCAGTGCATCAAATACAATAACGGAATTGCAAAATGACAACTCAAATTTGACTAACTCGTGTGAAAAACGAGAGAAGTCGTTAGCCGAGCTACTGTTTTCCGAAGCGGATTCGGACAACTCTGATTTTGCTCTGACGCTAACTGAAAATGATCTTCGGGAAGCAACGTCACCAAAATGCCAACGTTATAAACGTGACGAAGTTTCAACGGCTAACTTTATTGCTGCTTTTGTAAAGTTCAATGCTACAAGCGCCCAACCAACTATAAGAAAACAGTCCTCAAAAATTGGAAAAGCTCCGCTAAAAGTCGTTCAAAAGTGGATAACTCAAATGTTGCAATGTTTAAACGAATTGCATTCTTTGGAAGTTTTTTGGGGTTGTATTACTCCGCGCGATATTTTCCTCCATCGAAACGGTAATATCAAGTTCAAGCACTGTCTAACTTGGTTGAACGATTCAAAATCTATAGATGAATGGCTTTTAGACCCTTACTGTGTTAGTTTTATCGCTCCAGAATTGTTGGAAGATTTCATGTTTATGGTTCCTAATTCGCAAAGTGATCTTTGGAGTTTAGGAGCTGTCATTTATACGTTGATTACCGGTCGCTTTTTTGCAGCTGATTTTCCAAGCTATTTATTAGAGGAGGAAGAAATTATGGATTTACCCGGAGAATTCAATTGCGCTGGGCTTCAAAATCTATTACGATACCTTTTACAGAGAAGGCCTGATTTACGTTTAACTTTCGAAGAAGCTATAAGTGATCCCTTTTTAAATAGTTTTCATTTCCCAGAAATTTAAAAATGAAATTCTTGTCTGTAAATACAGATTTATTCCTTAATTTTCAATTTTATTGTCTTGATATCTTTTATAGGTTGTATATTGTGTATGAATTTTCTGAGCCGTAATGTAAATTCTGATTTTTACAATATTGTAAAACGCAATTGTTCTTCTTTACTTGCATTTCATTTTTGCATATCAGATCTGGCTTACCTTAAATTTAACGCTTAACTGATTAGCTCACCTGTAATAGCTGTACCATTAGCGAAACAAACGTTGTTAATGCAACCACAACATGCATTTTCATGGTACTATAAAATCTACCCTAATTTCAGATGTAAATATGTAAATAAAATTTCACGCACACCAAAGCCAAATCGGTTTTGAATGAATCAGCTAAAGCTAAATCTTAACAATAGCTAGTAGGTTAATTTACAACAATGACGACGTTGAACAGACTGGAGAAACGTGAAAAGATGAGAAGTTTTTGGCAGAATAGTTTGTCGTCCTCGTGTCGTGACCTGAGTGACATTTGTGATTCAAATGGAGATGTGTCATCATCCTGTTGGGATTTGAATCAGTTTCAACAATTTGAAGTGAGTTAATCATTTTCGTTGTTCCAAGCTTTTTGGTTTAGATAACATGTATAAATTAGTGTAAATTCACGAAATGAAAAGACTTTTATTTAATTGTGTGTTTTTTCATGCAAAGTTGTCAAAATTCGATTATACTCGCGGTTTTTTGCTGTTTGACCTATGATCTCTTTTTAAGTTAAGTTCAAACTCATTTGCTACGCTTTTGATTCAAAAAACTGAAATTGATGTGGAAAAACATGAATAGTTGTAGTTTCCACAAGGGATTTTAGTTTTTAGCTTTCTCAGTGGATTGAAAAGTTCCCAATTGACCCAGTTTTCTCTAATTATGGGTTGGATTAAGGAAAAATGCGAAGATCATAAAAGATTCCTGGATTTCAAAGCGATTTAATGCGATGTACTTATCTAGAGCTGCTTTTTTGGTGGTTTGTGTTACTGTAAGTCCAAGTTATCGTGACACATATGCTAGGACCCAGTAGCGGATTTAAGGGGGTGGGGGTCCTTAGGAAATCGACCCTCTGCCGACCCAAAGGGTCCCACCGTTGTGCGATTTTGAGATATCCATTTTTGGCTGACGGGCTCTAAAATTTTTCCTTAAGGCGCCTTCGGCGTCAATATATAGTAATTTCGAGGAAGCGCGCGCCAAAAAATCGCTAATTTTTGGTTGAAGTTTTCCAAAAGGTGCTCAAAAACGCCTTCTTTGACCTGTTTTTTTGTTGTTGCAAAATTTGGCCGAAACTAGGTCTTTTAAGTGCTTTAGGTTCCTAGATCCGCCCCTGCGAAAATCCTACATCCGCCCCTGCTAGGACATAAAACTCCTATTTTTGAGGTCAGAGGTTCGATTCCGATACATAGAACTAATTTGAGTTTGAATTAGTGGCAATTTGATAGCAACTGCTGCGTTTTTAGATAGGTTAGTTAATTTCGAAGCTTCTTTGGCGCAGAAACGAGAACATGAAATTCTTAATCTCCAGGTCGGAGATTCGATGCCGGCTTAGCAGAAAATTTATTTTTCCGGGCTAATTTCCTCTTTTTTTAAATTTTTTTTTGCCAATTAAGAGTTACTGTTTGCTGTTTTTCTCTTCTGGTTCTAAAGTGCAGCTTCGCCTCTGTGAGGGATTTGGGCTTGAAGATATGGCAGTTTGTAGTTTTCCGGTTTGTAGATATTGCGGTTGAAATCCAGAAAAAAATTCCAATAATTCCATGCTAGCCCTCCATTTGCCTTTTGTGAATTGATTGATTTTTTACATTAGCGCGTCAGCTTAGTGTATTTTAAAGAACCTAACCTAAGTCGCATATAATGATGCCACTTTTGGGGGCTTCTTTTAAAGCTTTTTGATTGCGTGTGATTTGACATTCGAATAGCAAAAAGTTGATACAGTTGATGCTTTTTTAATCATCAAATGAACCGAAAAAAGCTATTTGTTTCAGAATTTTTCTAATTCAATATTTTTCTAACGCAATTTTTTGAGATGCATAATTTATAAATAATGGGGCTTTATGCTTTGCGATTTGTAATATGCACAATTAGTGTGGATGCCTTCAGTTTGTTAGATTCCAAACTGTTACTTGTAAAATTGTGTCTATTTGTATTTGGTACCGCTTTTGCTGAATCGCGTTGGCAATTTATCAGCATGTGTAGCTGGTTATGATTTTATTCGTGATTATGGTTTGTCGGTGGTTAAGAGTGACTGGCTGAGTGATTAGAGCGTGAGACTCAAAATCTCTTGATTGCAGTAGGTCGCAGATCGAATCCTAGAACTAGCCGAATTTTTGCTAATTCGAAGCTTTTTTTATTTTTTTCTTATTGCACTTTTTAGAGCTGCTTTTTTGTCGTGTTCCTGCTAAAGTTTGCGAAGCGAAGCTTCGCCTCTGTGTCAATTTCTTGATTTTCGGAGATATCTTTTCAGCTTTGAATACTGATTTTTTTATCCATGCTGCTGGATCTGCCAATTCATATCTTTTGTTCACTTGCCCAATTTCAGTGATGACTTCGTTGGTATCATCAAATAAAGAGAACAATGTTTTCAAGTATACCACTTCTTTGACTGTTTCACTGAATCATTCCAGCTGACTTGCTTAGTTTCTGAAAAAATTCAAATTGATATACTCGATGCTTTTTATGATAACTAATTGTTGTCTTGACATCGTACTCTTCTTCTGTATTGACTGCAAATTTAACACTCATTTTGCTTAATTTCAAGTTTATGTTGGCTTTATGCTGCTTGAAAGGTTTCGGCTGATGTTATATTGGTTTAGTAACCTCATTTTGCATCATTTGATCGACGTAATCGTTTCGTAGGTATGGTTGTGTTTGGGGATCCAGCAGCATGGTTGTGTTTGGGGCTAAAACTTAGACCCAATGTTTCAATCTTTTTCATGCACCATTTTTTTCAGCTTAATTAGAGTCGTCCTAAGCATTATTAAGAATAATGAACGTAGTGAAGACTCTTATATAGGTCTTGCTGATTTTTTTAAAAATTTTGTCACGCTCAATTTTCATTTTTCTCGGTCTGACTTGTAATTTTTTTATTAGTTCAGTGCATTGCCATTGTTAAAGGGAAGACAAACTCCACCATCGAACAGCAAAAGTGTAAAGGTCACGAAAAACATGATCGACTTCTGATTTCGAAAGTGGAATTTAATTATCAGATTTGCCAGCGAAATATAATATTTACCTGTAAATCCAGTTTTCTCAAATTGAGTTGATTTTAACAAAAAAAAGTTCATTTTAATTTGTTTTGCAGATTCAAAGAGCCCTAAAGCCATCTATTTTTTTCTTCGCAATTGAAAAGTTGAAGGCTCTTGAAAAACATTTTTTCAGTTTCCATGCGTTCATTACTGTTAGCTGGCTATATTTGAATTATAAGCCACTGTATTAGTTTTGGTTAGAAGCTAATTTAACAATGACACTTTTCTTCTTCTTTGTAAGTGTTGCTTTTCCCCAAAATGATTTTCCTTGGATGCTAAGCGGGACAAAGTTTTTGAAATATAAGTTTTTCATCATTTTTCAAATTATTTTGTTTACTCATGAGCTTTCGATTCATGGTTTTTTTAGCTAGCTCGCCATCCTATGTTATTGATGTGTCGCAGGTGTCGAGAGGCTCTGCTTCAACTCCGTGCATGATCTCGGTCTGAGTTGATAAAATAAACATACGGCGTAAAACTTATAAGAGTTCGAGTAAATATCAGTGTTAAATCTGTGGTTTCTAAGGCAAACAATTTGATCATAAAATTCATTGGCTTTCTCATTGAAAAGATTTTTGTCGTAAAACTTGAACGTGATAATGTTTTTAAACACGATAAAGTTCCTGTTTTGGGAATATTGCCGTTGCTTTCATCAAAGAGTTCTTTGGTGTGTTCGAAGTATATCAAAGTAGGTTTTGAACAACAAAAGTGTAAAGGTCACGAAAAACATGATCGACTTCTGATTTCGAAAGTGGAATTTAATTATCAGATTTCCCAGCGAAATATAATATTTACCTTTAAATCCAGTTTTCTCAAATTGAGTTGATTTTAACAAAAAAAAGTTCATTTTAATTTGTTTTGCAGATTCAAAGAGCCCTAAAGCCATCTATTTTTTTTCTTCGCAATTGAAAAGTTGAAGGCTCTTGAAAAACATTTTTTCAGTTTCCATGCGTTCATTACTGTTAGCTGGCTATATTTGAATTATAAGCCACTGTATTTGTTTTGGTTAGAAGCTACTTTAACAATGACACTTTTCTTCTTCTTTGTAAGTGTTGCTTTTCCCCAAAATGATTTTCCTTGGATGCTAAGCGGGACAAAGTTTTTGAAATATAAGTTTTTCATCATTTTTCAAATTATTTTGTTTACTCATGAGCTTTCGATTCATGGTTTTTTTAGCTAGCTCGCCATCCTATGTTATTGATGTGTAGCAGGTGTCGAGAGGCTCTGCTTCGACTCCGTGCATGATCTCGGTCTGAGTTGATAAAATAAACATACGGCGTAAAACTTATAAGAATTCGAGTAAATATCAGTGTTAAATCTGTGGTTTCTAAGGCAAACAATTTGATCATAAAATTCATTGGCTTTCTCATTGAAAAGATTTTTGTCGTAAAACTTGAACGTGATAATGTTTTTAAACACGATAAATTTCCTGTTTTGGGATTATTGCCGTTGCTTTCATCAAAGAGTTCTTTGGTGTGTTCGAAGTATATCAAAGTAGGTTTTGAACAGCAAAAGTGTAAAGGTCACGAAAAACATGATCGACTTCTGATTTCGAAAGTGGAATTTAATTATCAGATTTCCCAGCGAAATATAATATTTACCTGTAAATCCAGTTTTCTCAAATTGAGTTGATTTTAACAAAAAAAAGTTCATTTTAATTTGTTTTGCAGATTCAAAGAGCCCTAAAGCCATCTATTTTTTTCTTCGCAATTGAAAAGTTGAAGGCTCTTGAAAAACATTTTTTCAGTTTCCATGCGTTCATTACTGTTAGCTGGCTATATTTGAATTATAAGCCACTGTATTAGTTTTGGTTAGAAGCTAATTTAACAATGACACTTTTCTTCTTCTTTGTAAGTGTTGCTTTTCCCCAAAATGATTTTCCTTGGATGCTAAGCGGGACAAAGTTTTTGAAATATAAGTTTTTCATCATTTTTCAAATTATTTTGTTTACTCATGAGCTTTCGATTCATGGTTTTTTTAGCTAGCTCGCCATCCTATGTTATTGATGTGTCGCAGGTGTCGAGAGGCTCTGCTTCGACTCCGTGCATGATCTCGGTCTGAGTTGATAAAATAAACATACGGCGTAAAACTTATAAGAATTCGAGTAAATATCAGTGTTAAATCTGTGGTTTCTAAGGCAAACAATTTGATCATAAAATTCATTGGCTTTCTCATTGAAAAGATTTTTGTCGTAAAACTTGAACGTGATAATGTTTTTAAACACGATTAAGTTCCTGTTTTGGGAATATTGCCGTTGCTTTCATCAAAGAGTTCTTTGGTGTGTTCGAAGTATATCAAAGTAGGTTTTGAACAGCAAAAGTGTAAAGGTCACGAAAAACATGATCGACTTCTGATTTCGAAAGTGGAATTTAATTATCAGATTTCCCAGCGAAATATAATATTTACCTTTAAATCCAGTTTTCTCAAATTGAGTTGATTTTAACAAAAAAAAGTTCATTTTAATTTGTTTTGCAGATTCAAAGAGCCCTAAAGCCATCTATTTTTTTCTTCGCAATTGAAAAGTTGAAGGCTCTTGAAAAACATTTTTTCAGTTTCCATGCGTTCATTACTGTTAGCTGGCTATATTTGAATTATAAGCCACTGTATTTGTTTTGGTTAGAAGCTACTTTAACAATGACACTTTTCTTCTTCTTTGTAAGTGTTGCTTTTCCCCAAAATGATTTTCCTTGCATGCTAAGCGGGACAAAGTTTTTGAAATATAAGTTTTTCATCATTTTTCAAATTATTTTGTTTACTCATGAGCTTTCGATTCATGGTTTTTTTAGCTAGCTCGCCATCCTATGTTATTGATGTGTCGCAGGTTTCGAGAGGCTCTGCTTCGACTCCGTGCATGATCTCGGTCTGAGTTGATAAAATAAACATACGGCGTAAAACTTATAAGAATTCGAGTAAATATCAGTGTTAAATCTGTGGTTTCTAAGGCAAACAATTTGATCATAAAATTCATTGGCTTTCTCATTGAAAAGATTTTTGTCGTAAAACTTGAACGTGATAATGTTTTTAAACACGATAAAGTTCCTGTTTTGGGATTATTGCCGTTGCTTTCATCAAAGAGTTCTTTGGTGTGTTCGAAGTATATCAAAGTAGGTTTTGAACAGCAAAAGTGTAAAGGTCACGAAAAACATGATCGACTTCTGATTTCGAAAGTGGAATTTAATTATCAGATTTCCCAGCGAAATATAATATTTACCTTTAAATCCAGTTTTCTCAAATTGAGTTGATTTTAACAGAAAAAAGTTCATTTTAATTTGTTTTGCAGATTCAAAGAGCCCTAAAGCCATCTATTTTTTTCTTCGCAATTGAAAAGTTGAAGGCTCTTGAAAAACATTTTTTCAGTTTTCATGCGTTCATTACTGTTAGCTGGCTATATTTGAATTATAAGCCACTGTATTAGTTTTGGTTAGAAGCTAATTTAACAATGACACTTTTCTTCTTCTTTGTAAGTGTTGCTTTTCCCCAAAATGATTTTCCTTGGATGCTAAGCGGGACAAAGTTTTTGAAATATAAGTTTTTCATCATTTTTCAAATTATTTTGTTTACTCATGAGCTTTCGATTCATGGTTTTTTTAGCTAGCTCGCCATCCTATGTTATTGATGTGTCGCAGGTGTCGAGAAGCTCTGCTTCGACTCCGTGAATGATCTCGGTCTGAGTTTATAAAATAAATATACGGCGTAAAACTTATAAGAATTCGAGTAAATATCAATGTTAAATCTTTGGTTTCTAAGGCAAACAATTTGATCATAAAATACATTGGCTTTTTCATTGAAAAGATTTTTGTCGTAAGAAACTTGAACGTGATAATGTTTTTAAACACGATAAAGTTCCTGTTTTGGGAATATTGCCGTTGCTTTCATCAAAGAGTTCTTTGGTGTGTTCGAAGTATATCAAAGTAGGTTTTGCAATAATGCCGGAAAGCACAAAATGTTTTTTTTTCAGATATAGAACATTTTATCCAGTATCTATTTGTCTATCTATCTATGTATCTATCTATCTATCTATCTATCTATCTATCTATCTATCTATCTATCTATCTATCTCTCTATCTACATTTTTTAATTGGCGTTTCACTTGACTCATGTTTAAAAAGTTCGTTTGTTGACATGTTAAGAAAAATGCCAATATTTTACAGTTTAATTTGTTTTATTGAAATCAACTTTTTAAATTTCCGAAGTCATCTATTATTACAACTATAGATCTGTTGAAGCATGAATGCTTGAACTGCTTTTTTTTTTAAATTTTCGCGACACATGTTTTTAAAGCTTCTTGTTTAAGTGTTTACTGACAAAATTGAAATTCTCAACCCCATGGTGTTCTTCTATCAGGTTACACTCAGGGTTTGCAATTCAAGCCTCCAAATTTTACTGCCCAAATTTTTTTGGTTTCCGAGATACAACGGTTTTTTTTAAAATTTTTCTTCGATAACTCTCAGTCCTATGGTGGGGTGCTATCAAGGTACACATTGGAAATGCAAATATTTGCTCCAAATTCAACCGCTCAATTTTTTTTGATTTCCAAGACATAGCGTTTACTATGTTTTAAAAAAATCGAAACATTTAGTTTTAAAAAATTTGAACAGAACTTGTTATTCTCAGACCTATGGTGGGGTGCTCTCAGGGTACACTCAGGAAATGCAAATCTGGCCCCTAAATATATCTGCTCCAATTCTTTCGATTTTAGAGATGACGTTTATTATGATTTTTTCATTTTTTTTTTAATTTATCTTTAGGAAAACTAATAAAACATGCAATTCCTAACTCTATATGTTGGCGTTGTTATTGCGCACTCAAGGGTTGCAAATCTTGTCTTCAAATATTGTTGCTCAAAGCTTTTTCCGAGAGATAGTTTTTTCTTTTTTCAATTTAAAAAATTTAGATCTAAAGACAAACAAAACATGAAATACTCTACTTTAGGTGAAATACTGACAGGGTACACTCAGAGAGTGCCAATCCGGCGTACAAGTATAATTGATCAAATTATTTTGATTTTTGGGAGTTAGTTGTTTTGTTTTTCCATTGTTTTCTAAAATTTTATAGAGTAAGATATAAAAAAAAACATGAAGTTCTCTACCCCTTGGTGGGGTGCCGCCAGGGAACCCTCAGGAGTTACAAATCTGGCCTCTTTATATAACTGCTCAAATTCTTTTGGTTTCTGAGACATAGAGTTTTTGTTTTTCTATTTTGTTTTCAGAAAACGTAGGTTCAGATCATAAATAAAACTTGCATTTCTCAACCATAAGGTGGTGTGCTTATCCTTTTTGTTTCCGAAATAATTTTATGAATTGAAAATTTTTTTAGGGTATAAGAAGAAAACTTAGATTTTTCAACCATATTTGTGGTGCTGCTGGGGTATTCGTTGAGGTTGGAAATTTGCTTCTAATTGAACTTTTCAATTTTAGTTTCCGAATTAAGACAAATTTTTTTAAATTAACGCTTTCAAATTTTTCAGTTGACTTTCCAAAATAATCTGATTGATGTTACAACAATTGATTTTTTGAATATGAAAGAAGCCGCCATATGGTGTCAACCTTTTGATGGTTTTTTGCGTTAATTAGTTCTTATATCTGACGAAACTCAGCACTCTTAGAGATATGACCATTTGGGTGAAAAATAACTTGACTTCGTGAATCGTTCAATAAATGAATAAGAAAAACCTGATGAATGGGCCCGGTTTAATTTAACGATTGCATGAAATATTTTTTTTTGCGTATATTTTAGGAAGCTTTTCCATGTTTAACAATTTTTGAAGGCACTGGAGGTGCGATTCATCCGCTAGTATTAAAATATAATGTAAAATGATCGGGAGTTTGCTTTGTAATTAAAATTACGCAAGTTCGTGTTCATCATAGTTTGTGTTCCTTTATAAAGTTGTAATGAAGGCACTACCTTTCACCAGGCCAGAAAACTGAATAAAGGCTGTTTTTACCACTTTACTAGATAAATGTTGCATTTATGAAGCTTACTCGAAGTTATGAAGCTTACTCGGGGGAAGCCTTCTGTCACTAAGCGTTTCAGCATTTTTTTGCGCTTTCTCAGCAGAGCTGTTTGTTTTAGTGGCAAACACTGATTCACCCGCTCAATTCCTCTCGTGCTGATTGATAACCGTCTGTATGGTGAAAAGCTTGTTGGTATGGTAACAGTGAGCCGTAAACACTGTTTCACGCACACTATTGCACTATTTCTTTCGTGTTGAATGTAGGCGCAACGTCGCGAAGTGTTTACGAATTGCCGCTTGGTACGAAGTGTTAAACTAAATGAACTGTCGCGTTTCCTAAATACTACCAGTTGTCGCTTTCGTGGAGGTTTTGCATTGCCGTTCGAGAAAACCTAGAGGGGATGCTACTAGAAGGGCAAAATAACCCATTTAGCATTCCTAGTGTAGATTTTAGAATTAAGTTGGTTAAAAAATAGTTTGTGAAGTTTGTCCACATCGAATTTAACTTGATTCATTTAACTCAGTTATTTTTTATTGTCCATGTGAGTCAACCGTATATACCTTAAAGTATACAATTTATAATTTATTCCGCTGCTGCCATTTTAGATTCAAAAAGGTTTGTTTTCTTTTTTATTCTCTTACTCAGACTGTTTGCAGCGGTGTGTCTTTTATGCACACAACAAGCGAAGAGGTGTTTTCTACCTACCAATTATACCATTTCACTCTCCATATACTAAAGCATGCGGATTGTGTTTTAAAGACTGTTTGAAACTGCGTGTTTTTATATCGTTTTAAATTTTCTTCTTGATTAAGCTTGAATGAGCAGTGAATGGAGCTTGCTCAATTTATATTACTTTTGCGTGGTGTTATATTACAATGAAAGCAGAAGTTGAAAAGAAACTATTTTAAAAATCTGTACTTCTCACGGTAATTTCTTCAATTGAATTCGAATTTCCAAATTGAGAACTGAAAGTTTTCATTTTCTGAACGGAGTTATAGGCTAGTCTGTTTTTAATTATCGTGTTTCTTGCAGCATTTTAAAAATTATTTTACACCGACGATTTGTTTAGATTAAAAGTTCAGCTTGGTCTGTTCAACGAATTGCCAACTCGTTGATACGATCTTTGGAGGAATTGCCATCAAACGGGGATAGTCAAGGACATTTTGAATCAACTATGGAGGATGAAGAAATTGAAACGAAACCGATAAGGATCGAATGTATGCGTAAAAAATGGGATCAAGTTTTGCATTTCGCATTGAAAGAAAACGAATTACAGCAAAGACAAAATGAAATTTTCAAAGAAATGAAAAGTCGAAAGTCTGCTTCGCAATGGAATATTTCAAACTCAATTGTAGATGCAAATTGTAGTTTCGAAGATATTCCGCTCGAGCAAAGGCCGACGTGTGACCGAATTGAAGTGGTGCCGCAACACGATTTGGACGAAAAAATCCGAGTTCGAAGCCGAACATTGGAGTGGAATGAGCGAATCAATGCGATGAGTACTTCGTCCAAAGAAAGTTCACTTGATCGATCGCCAAGCAACGGTGTTTCAGGTGCAAATCTCAATGAGACAGAAAAGAAGCTGCAGGTGTTGAAGGATATAAAAGCAGATCGAATTAAAGAACAAGAAAGGATAAAGTATCAGAAATTGGCCGAAAGAAGACAAAATCGATCTCAAAAAGGTAGTTTGAGCGCTTTGATTATGCATTATTCGGGTAATGAGCCTCTCAATCAAGCTAGCCCAGCCAATGCGTCTACCCCTTTGAATGGTTTTAAAGATGGTGTTAAAAAACCACCTTCATTTTCAATTGTTAACGAAATTGGCCTTACCAATGCGCCGAAACATTCGAATGGTCATCAAGACGCAAGTCCAGAAGTATCGGAGAACCAAAATGGCTATAAGATGATGCAGTTTAAAGATGAAAGTCCAACGAATGCTTCTGCTCATGATTCAGAAATAAAGGAAGTTATTGAAATCAAGAAAGAATTAGTTGAAAGCACAACACCAACGCCTGTACCGGTGAAGACTAAAAAGAAAGCTCCGCCACCGCCCGTTGATGGAACCAATGGACCCAATGATCAAAATCAAGATAAAATGAAAACTTTAGAAGTAAAAATGTAAATACTTCAATTAATCGATCATTGGCTGAAATGAAATGTTCTGATATTTTTTACCCGTTCTTACATCTATACAATTTAGATAGATAACTCTATTTCAATTTTAATTTAAGATTTCTGTCGTAATTCCTTCAAAAAAATGCGGTATGGCAGGAATTTGGATTGGTTTATTGATGTCTAAAACCAATTTGATTTTGAAACTATCTATTGGTGTGATTATTCAAAAAACTTTTTTAAGTATTTTTTATCAGTTGACCATTTGTATCTTGTTAACGGGATTGAGGCTTTTCTGGTTAAAAAACCTTGTTAGCATATTTCAACTTTTTTGCGAACGTTTTAGCTAATTGTTCTAACCCTTGATAATGGAGAAGAATTTGTATTCAAGTTTTAGTTCTTTTGTTTTCCTCTAAAAATCAGGTACCACAAATCATCATTAGAATGGATCGAGTGATATATCATATTAAAGCCTTTTTAGTCTTGATTTGAACGACATGAAATAATTTTAAAAGTCTTCCAAGCGAAAAGGTTTGAAATTTGTGTGTTTTAGTCTAATTTCGAACGAGTGGAGCAAGCGATTAGGCTTATTATAGACGGATAAGTCATGAAGCTTTTATTCAAGATCTGAAAACTTTGTTTGACCCCAGTGAAACAAGTGTTCGAAGTTTTTTAAGCGCCATCTTAGAAATAAAAAATCAATTTTCGAAAAACAATTAGTCATCTGTACATTATTTAATTGGCGTTTCACTTGACACTTGTTTAAGAAGTCCCTATGTTGACAGACATGCTTGAGCGTTTTCAATGTATTATTTTTTTGCTCGTTTAAGCTATATCGTATATTGTAATGCTTAAGAAATTTCACTTAGCTAATGTGTAAGAAGTTCTTATCTTGGTCTGTTAAAATGCCAAAACATTGCAAGGGTGAAAATGATTAGTCAAGTCGACGTATCAAAGTCTGTTGGAGGGCGAATGCTTTAACTCCGCAACGTAAAACTATCGAAATTTTTGTTCAACAATTTCTTTAACTACATTTTAATTTCTCAACCCTATCGTGGGTTGCTGTCAGGGTATACTCAGGGGTTGCAAATCTGGCGGCCAAGTTTGACTGCTCAATTTCTTTTGGTTTTCCAGGTATTGCGTTTCATACGATTTTTAAAAAAAAATTCTTAGTTTGAAAAAAAAAACTAACCGAACTTGAAATTCTGAGCCCTTTACTAGGATACTGTTACAGTACACTCTGAGGTTGCAAATCTGGCGTCCAAGTTTGACTGCACAAATCCTTTTGGTTTTCGAGATATCGTGTTTTTTACGAATTTTTTCAATTTTTTTTCAAACATCTTAGTTTTAAAAAAAGTAACCGAACTTAAAATTCTCAACCCTATAGCGGGCTGCTGTTAGGGTACACTCAAAGGTTGCAATTCTGGCGGCGTGCCAGTATGACTGCTCAGATCCTTTTGATTTTCGAGACATGGTGTCTTTCATGATTTTTTCAAATTTTTTTCAAGAAACTTAGATATAAAGAAAACTCACCGAATTTGAAATTCTAAACCCTATATTGGACTGCTGTCAGGGTGTACCCAGGGGTTGCAAATCTGGTCTCCGAGTATGACTGCTCAATTTTTTTTTGATTTTTGTGATATTGCGTTTCTTACGATTTTTTCAGTTTTTTTTTTCAAACATCTTAGTTTTAAAAAAACTAACCGAACTTGAAATTCTCAGCCTTTTACTAGGATACTGTTATAGTGCACTCTGAGGTTGCAAATCTGGCGTCCAAGTTTGACTGCACAAATCCTTTTGGTTTTCGAGATATTGTGTTTCTTACGATTTTTTTTCATTTTTTTTTTCAAACATCTTAGTTTTAAAAAAAGTAACCGAACTTAAAGTTCTCAACCCTATAGCGGGCTGCTGTTAGGGTGCACTTAAAGGTTGCAAATGTGGCGTGCCAGTATGACTGCTCAAATCCTTTTGATTTTCGAGATATGGTGTCTTTTATGGTTTTTTCAAAATTTTTTCCAGGAAACTTAGATATAAAGAAAACTCACCGAATTTGAAATTCTCAACTCTTTATTCGACTGCTGTCGATGTGTACCCAGGGTTTGCAAATCTAATCTCTGAGTTTGACTGCTCAGTTTTTTTTTGATTTTCGTGATATTGCGTTTCTTACGATTTTTTCAGTTTTTTTTTCAAACATCTTAGTTTTAAAAAAGTAACCGAACTTAAAATTCTCAACCCTATAGCGGGCTGCTGTTAGGTTACACTCAAAGGTTGCAAATCTGGCGTGCCAGTGTGACTGCTCAATTTCATTTGATTTTCGAGATATGGTGTCTTTAATGATTTTTTCAAAATTTTTTCCAGGAAAATTAGATATAAAGAAAACTCACCGAATTTGAAATTCTCAACCCTATATTGGACTGCTGTCAGGGTGTACCCAGGGTTTGCAAATCTGGTCTCCAAGTATGAGTGCTCAAGTTTTTTTGATTTTTGTGATATTGCGTTTCTTACGATTTTTTCAGTTTTTTTTTGCAAACATCTTAGTTTTAAAAAACTAACCGAACTTGAAATTTTCAACTCGATAGCGGGCTGCTGTTAGGGTACACGAAGGGTTCGCAAATCTGGTGTCCAGGTTAGAGTGCTCAAATTTTTTTAGTTTTTGAGATATGGCGCTTATGATTTTTCCAGTTTTTTTTTCAAGAAATTTAGATATAAAGAAAACTCACAGAACTTGAAATTCTCAACCCTTTAGTGGGCTGCTAGGGTACACTCAGAGGTTGCAAATCTGGCGTACCAGTATGGCTACTCATTTTTTTTGGTTTTCGAGATATGGCGTGTTTTAACATTTTTTCATTTTTTTTCTTAATGAAAACTACTAACCAACTTGAAATTATCAACCATTTAGTAGGATGCTGTCACTCTACTCAGGGATTACAAATCTGTCGTCCAAATGTGGTTGCTCAAATCTTTTTGGTTTTCGTGATATTGCGTTGCTTACGATTTTTTCAATTTATTTTTCAATTCCTTAGTATTAAAAATTGAGTTCGAAGTTCTGAACTCTTTAGCGGGCTGAGTTTATGGTACACTCATAGGTTGCAAATATGGCGTCCAAATAAGATTCCTCAATTTATTTAGGTATTCGGGATATGGCGTCTTTTTTTTTCAATTTTTTTTCAAGCAAACTTAGCTATAAAAAAACTAACCGAACTTGAAATCCTCAACCCTATAGCGGGCTGCTGTTATGGTACACTCAGAGGTTGCAAATCTGGCGTCCCAGTATGACTGCTCAAATCCTTTTAGTTTTCGAGATATGGTGTCTTTTATGATTTTTTCAATTTGTTTTTTCAAGAACTTATAAGAAAGATAACCGACTTTGAAATTTCCAACACTTATTTAGGGTGATGGCAGACTACAAGCAGGGGTTGCAAATCTAGCGTCCGAGTAAGACTGATCAAATCATTTTGGTTTCCAAAAAATGGCGGTTTTATGCTTTCTTCAACCTTTTCTAACATAACTTGATTTTCACAAGCCTAAGGCGGCGGATTGTTAGGTACACTTCGGTGTTGCAATCCTTGCCTCTAAATATGACTGCTCAAATTCTTTTGGTTCCCGAGTTGTGGCAATGAAATAGAAACACCTGATAGATGAGCCCAGTAAATCAGCACGGATTATCAGCACCCAGTAAATATCGCTGGTTCGGTACATCTTTTCGGAAGCTCTTTTTACGTTCAATGGTCTATTTGAAGCACCTTAGGTGCGAGTGCTGCGCTAGTTTTTGGAGAAAAACTGTCATTCAAAAATGCATAGGCAACGAGCATGAATCCTGATGCGCCTTGAATGCCTGTCTTTTAACTAATTGGTGGACACCTTAGCCACTTCACCACTGATCCTCCTAAAACTTAAATAGTGCTGGATGCAGTCAAAATGATTATTTAGCTCGTCGGGTTTTTCTATAGTGATATAAACGAAGCGATTCTTCTTACATAGTTGTGTTTGTTTTAATCGAAATTGAGGAAAAGTCGCGCTGCGTTTTCAAAAGTCGCGCTGCACTACTTCGAAAGTAGTCTAAATGTTTAAAATTTCCAGTGGCATAAAATAATGTTCATTGTTGGGGTTATTGTAAAAGTTTGAATTATGATCGTTATTTGAAATCGAAGGAAATTGAAAGTTTGTTAACTTATAAGTTTGTTTTTAAACCTTTTGATCTTTTCCTTAGGCACCATTCCCCAAAACTTAGGCTATATGAGGCCATATTATTTTGCAATTTGTCATATTTGTTCGCAATATTCAGTGCTTTCCCAATTTTTAAAGAGTTTTTTCAGGATCTTAGAAGTTCACAATTTCTTAATCACCACTGATATTTTTAGTCCGTGGATTTAGCTTTTTTTAGTAAATAACAAATTCAAAGAATCTAGCATTAAATGACTTTTGAACTAATTGCTCACAGATTCTTTAGATTTATAAATGAGCGAAAGCAAAGCTCCCTCAAAATGTTCTAAACATAACACATCCTCTGAATCATCACATCGAAAAAGGAAAAGTAGTCCAAGAAATGAGCACAGAACCTCTGAGAAAATAAAGCAACAATGTGATTCAGAAACACGGGAAGAAGTCAAAAACGAGTTAAAAAGTGCAAAAGAAATTAAACCGAAAGCTCCGAAGCTCATCGCCAAAATTGGTCACCTTCAAAACCCGAAAATTCCACCGAAGACTGGAAAGCAAAAAATAACAGCCGCCACTGTTTTCGGAGGGGAAAGTTCCGACGATGAAGGTGAAGAAATGCCGTTTGAAGCAAAATTGAGACTAAAAAACGTTGGTAAAAATACCCCAACATCTGCTGGCCCAAACTCGTTTGGGAAAATATCCGGAAAAGGGTTCATTGACCCCAGAGTGCAATGGAAAAAGGTCATCGAAGATACGAAGAAAAGAACCGATCAAGAAGAAGATAATTATAAGTCCATTTGCAAAGCTGGAAATTCGTAATTGTGGCAATTGTTCGTAAATATGTTTTTTCTTGTTGTTTGCGGTAAAATTTCGTGTAGTAGATTTAATCAACTGTCCAATTATAAATTGTTAGTAATTGAATAAAAATTCAGAATAAAAATGCGTTTTTTGTCTAACGAAATGGAGTCAGGTTGCAGTGCAGTGTGTCACATTTAAGTTCACTTTTAAAGCGAAAAGCGAAGCAGTTGCGTGCGCAGGGCCTTTCTAATGTCAATCTATTCGTTGACTATTGAAAATGTGGAGGAACTTAGGGGATGTGTTTTAGTTTTTTAAACTACTTGTTTTCCACGCAAAATCAGGTACCACAAATAATCATTGGAATGGGTCGATTGATATATCATTTTGAAGCCCTTTCAGCAGTGATTCAAACAAAAGGTTTTGAAAACATTTTCTCAGTGTTGAGAAAAAACGGTTTGAAATTTGTAACTTTTGGTCTAATTTCGAGCTAATAGGGTGAGCATGCAGGATTATGCGTATGCTTGATGTAATCCAGGTTTCATTTTTCAAGGCTTTTTTAACCTTTTCCTTGCCTTAGTGTAAAAGATGTTTAAAATGTTAATCAACCTGTTTTTAATCAGTTCCTGCAATGTCTATTAGCCAGTTTCGCACTTCACCCCAAAGACAGAAAATTCCGAAATTTTTTTTTGCAATATAAATGTGGTTGGAATAGTCTTTGGAGAGGAACAGGCTCTTCGCCGTTGCCGGGGGTAGCATGTTGATAATTAGACCAATTATTTTTGTTGGAATTTTTAATTTTTTTTTTGGTTTTTCTTAACTACGAGTTGAGATTTTTCCATTTTTTGTATATAACTTTTAACCACGAAAAAGCAATAAATGGAGTCGCATATCCTGAAATATCTGAATTTTACTTTTTTTACGATTATTTACTGATTGGGTTGAGTTTGTCAAATAAGCTTTGAGAAAGGCGGGATCGTACCCTTGTCTCGAAAAAGTGTCCATAATTTGTCAACTATTTAAGTTTTTTTCTGAAAGTGAATTTGTCAAGCCTGAATACTGCCCTATTTTTTGTATCGCAATTGTGTGCCCTTGTTAGCTGCTGATTTTTTTCGCGGTATTTATGGTTTGTGAAGATTTTTTGACATCTGCTGCAGATTTTTACGCTCTGATTATGACTTGCGTTTGGAAAACTTGGAATGAAAAAGAAAAGCTAATTGTTTTTAGATGCAATTTTGCCGCAATGAGCTGTCAAAACTTCAGGAGCATCATTTATATCGATTGATGACTCTACACGAGAAAAGTACTTCCGATCATGTCACTGATAGCTTTCAATACAAAATTTCGTACCTTAGCTTACAATGTACAGAATAATTTGAACGAAACAGATCGATGATTCATACAGCAAGCCTATCAATAGTTATAGATTGCTTGCATAAGGTATACTGAGTGTTGAGCATGTGAAACCGCGGGTCTTTTCAGTTATACCCCCCCCCCCCCCTTTACATGATGAAAAATTAAAATGAAAATTTTACTACAAAATTGGATCGATATTACTCAGAAAGGCAAGGCAGTAAAATACGACCGGTCAAAACGATGCAGTTTACTTAATTAAGCCCTCAAACTGGCTCTTTTCTCGGATTTTTTTGCCGTTTTCTCCACAAAAGTTTTATAATTATGAGCCCAAATGCGGTTTAAATCGTTGTTTTATTCGTATATTGTGCATATTTCCAATTTGATTCAATGCGTGGGATATCAGCCCAGCATCTCTAAGAAAATTTGATGCAAATTTGATGCAGATCATGGTAGTCATCTAAGGTCAATGCTAATGTTCTAAGCGTTCGCCTGGTCGGAACATTTTGTACTACTTGCACAGCAGCCGGTTTCCCTTGTTTATAATGGGTGTTTGGTTTCTAAGGCTGGTAGTTTTGTGATATAAAGAGTTGTTCTGTTTTCAGATATTTTATGCCCGAAATTTATTCTTCGTTGAAATATCGTCTTTGAAATTTGTGTTCTAATCCTCCACATTCCAATCAGTATAAAATGTATCTCATTGTAAAACAGTGTAAAATATTTTTACATTTTATAGCTTAAAATGATGCTTTGAAATCATTTTACTCTATTTTACAACAGTAGCTGGGCTGAATATTGATTTAAAAAATGAAGACTGAATCTCTTTCAAAGTTTTGGAAGTTGGCGTTATTTTGCTCGCTGACAATTGTTACTACAGCGAACATAGTCTGTGTGAACTTTTCAAGGATCGTTTTCCCCGGCGACTCGAGTGCGTCACTGTATTACCCGTCGACGTCTGTGTTTTGCAATGAACTGGCGAAGATTATTTTGAGCTGTGTGCTTTTACTTTATGAGGTGAAGAGCTGCAGCAGATTAATGAGTGTTCTCAAAACGGTATGTGAGTCTTATTGAGTGTACGTGAAGCTTCCTTTTCGGACAGGGTTGTTAAAATGTCACGTGTCTCAAGCTATCAGTCGAGAGATCGATGGTCAGAGACCCATTATCATGTGTGCTTGTTAATTGAAAGTCGGGAATCGTGTTTCTACCAAAATTTCAATTGAATCAGATTTAGTGCTACAAGGGAACGCCAGCGCCCCGCTATTTTGAGCTGAGCTGAACAGATCATTATTCCCCTCCCCTAATTCTTCTAATACATGGGTCAGCTTTGATATTGCACCGGGACACGAATGCATCCCAACTAAGTAAGCTTCAGTTGATTGCAAATGAGTTGATATGAAAATTCCTTTTTTCTTTGTGAAAATACTACAAATTAGGTGATTTTATCTTGCCTCGACAAGTGAGGAACCGAAAATATTTTTGGGCAAGATTTCCCAAGGCGCAAAAATTTCACGGCGATAAATTTTTTGTCCTAATAGACGTTTTCATGCGGGGAATATCAGATTTTGGATGCCAAATTCTATGCAGAAGTTAGGAATAAGTGAAATTTTATCATTGAGTGTTCCAGATTACGTTGGAACTTTAACCTGTCCTCAATAAAAAGTGTTTCAGGAGGTGTTTGAGAAATGGAGTAGTACCTTAAAAATGGCAGTACCCGCAATAGTCTACGTCATTCAAAACAACCTCAGTTTCTTCGCTTTGGGCAACCTGGACCCAGCCACGTATCAAGTTACATATCAACTCAAGCTACTCACAACAGCACTAGTTATGCGCCTGCTATTGGGGAAAATCCTCACTAGTAAACAGTGGGGAGCTCTTTTTGTGCTTTTAATTGGAGTTTGTCTGGTTGAAATTGAGAAGTTAGCGCCTCAGGTGAGTGAAGTTATAAAAAGGATGTAAAGATTTATCAGATAGTATTTTTTTAGCTTGGGCTTATTTTTTTACTAGCGAGTATGAATGAAAATTTTTGTATGAATGTTCCATAGTTTTGTCTGAATGTCATAACTGAAGAACAAGTATTATTTTGTAACCAGTAGCGGATTCTTTGAGGGGGTGGGGGGGGGGCACAAAGGGTCCCCCATTTGCTGTTGTTTTGAGGCATCCATTTTTGCAGGCCAGCCTTATATTTTTTCTAAAGGCTCTGCCATTTGATCTAAAAAGTCATAGATGATTTTCCACATTTTTGTTTGCGGTGTAGAAAATATGACCTTAAAATTGTTTTGGGTGAGCTCGGGTTGTGATTTGCAACCCCGTCCCCTTAGCCTGTAGATATTGAAATACAACTAACGGAAGACGTACAGTCAGAAACAGTTCCTTAAATACTTTTGGTTGAAAGTATTCTTTTTCCTCAGCTTTCAAAACATTTTGTTTCAAACATGGATTTATGAACTGAAAAAATTTCTCATGTTTTTGAAGGACATGACGGCTGTCTCGAGGCAGATGCTACAAACAGCTTCGGCAAACAAAAAGGACGATAGTGTTATTGGAGAGGAGAGGTCATATGATTCACCTGCAGGGTCTTCAGTCAACGTTTTAGCGGGCAAGTTATGAAGTTATATGGCGGCAGTTCTGGAACTGTTAAGAAGAAAACTTTTGAGGGGTGGAGTTTATATACTAATTATTTTATAAGTTTTTTTTCTTCATTTTTTTGGACCAATTTAACACCTCTACCCTAAACAGATCAAGTTGTTCCACCCAACTGTTATATTTGGATAAATTCGCTTAGCACTGCGTCTAAAATTCTTGATTCCAATTGGTTGAAAGTTTCAACTTAGAATTATTACGATAATATCCTAAATTTTGAAATAATTAGTCCATCCTTCTCTTCTTCAGGAATCGCGGCTACAATTGGAATGACATTCTGTTCTGCATTCGCGGGGGTGTACTTTGAGAAGATGGTTCGATCCTCGCCCGCGTCTTCCTCTGGAGGGAAAGGGCTGCAACAGGGTGCAATCAAGCTGAGTGAATTGGGAGAGCTGTGGGTGAAGAATATCCAGCTGTATCTGTTCTCCTGTATCAGTGCTCTAGCTGCGTGTTTATTACACGATGGAGATAAGATTGCTGAAAATGGATTTTTCCACGGGTGTGTTAATGTACAATATTTAAAATCAATTTGTTGTTGCGAAGAATTTCATCTCGAGGGTTCTCAAAAAAGGTCGATTGTTAAGCATTGATTACACAAGTACTGCTAGTGTTATAAGAGCAGCCCTTTTTCTAACTTTCATTGTTCACTTTTTCAATATGTTCACTTTTTCAGTGTTCAGTTTCAATAAGTCTAAACAGCTCAATTTGCAAAAATTAGGGGTTTCTAAAGCATGTGTTTTATCCCCTTAAAACGCACTCATTGCTGCCTGTTAGTTCTCAATTACCCTTGCGATAAGCAAAAGTATTGCAATAGGGTACTAGACTTTTCCCCCGTAAATAATATTGTTCACAGGACCCATTTCATCTCCTGGACTCCTTCATCTTCTGACGTGCTCAATTTCTTTAAAATTCAAATAAAACTACTATAATTTAAGTAATGCCCGTTTCAGGTTGTAATTTTCAGTTTATGTTGTATCGGCTCAGTCAACTTATTTTGCATAGTTTCGAGGGCAAAGTTATTCGCATGGGATTATGTGTATCAGGTTGGATGAACCGTAAAAAATTCTATGAAATTTTTTATGACAACAGTTTTGTTTTCGGCTCAAACGGGTTTCGACCCAAAATTTGCCGCCCGGTAATCGATTTCTATTTTTCTAAGGCTGCTTATGAACTTCTATACAACGATAAAATTTTTAAAGCTGTATCTTTTTCAAGTAATGTTTTCAACTTAGTTTTCAGAATTTTTTTTCGTTCACTATTTTGTAGCGCAATTTGTTTTTTGCCTCACAAGTTTTGCGAAGCTCCGCTTCGCCTCTGTGTCAAGTATGTTTGCAAAAGCAAGCGTAGTGTTATATTACGAATCTATTTTTGCTAATCCAACTCGGAATGAAAGTGCTCATTTGGTGACGTTTTTTTGCTGCATACGTTGACAGTTTAATAACATCGGTTCTATCGGCTTTATTGGCGGATAGATTTTGTACATTTTCAGAACATGGGCGCATTTGTGCCTCTGTGAAAATGCATCATCATTCATAAGGTCTCTGTTACTGGGTTATATAACAGATTGTTGAAATTTTTGCTTATGGCACATCAGATAGTGGATTCAATCCCCTGTTGTCCCTTAAGGCCAATGTTTCCGCCGGATTTTTGCAGTTTGTTTTTTGATTCTTAGACCTTTGTGTTTTTTTTTGGTTGGGCTAATGAAATAGTTTTCTCTCTATTTGTTTTGTGTATTTATTATTTTTTTTTTCAAATGTAGATTTAAGTGGTTGGATTTTTGATTTTGATTTCACATTTTAAATACATTTTCCAAATTGGGAATTAAATTCTCCAGATGGCCTGGAAAGTTAAACCTGACTCTTGGTTGGTGGCTCTTCGACGTAACAAGGACCAATTTTACTTCAAACAGGAGTCAGGCTTCACTTTTTAACCCATTTAGAGAGTTTAATTGCCTGTTTTTAATCGATAAAGCATTTAACCTTTAATCGAAATAGTCTGAAACCGAAATCAAAATTAGCAGAATGTGAATTCTTACTATCTCTATGTGACATGGGTTCGCCTCAGTAACCGCCTGGATCTTACATAAACAGTTTGTGTCTCGATGCTGGTTAGCTTGCATTGTTTATCAGCCTGTTTGCGTCATCTGATTTTGCATTTGGCTAAATATTATTAATAAATTGAAAGCAAAATGAGCAGAATTTCCATTCTCACTTGGTAGATGTCAGTCGGGTTCACGCCAATAACCGCCTGGAATTTACATAAAAAGTTTGTGTCTCGACACTGGTCACACGAAGCATCTCGTTTGCGGTTCTGAGTGCGCGTACAAAAAATTTATTGTCACATCTGAATTTTTTATAATGTTTCAACTCAATTTGTCCATTTCTGACTGATCTGAGGTCAGTTTCATTTTCATTTGCTTCAATTTGTAAGATAATTCAGCAGTTTTGCTAATTGTTTTCCAGAGCAGCAAATTGTCAGTTCGTTGCAACAAAAACAAACAAACAAAAAGAGAAGCTTCAAACGTAATAAAGAACTAGCATGACGAATGTATTCACTGTCAACCCATTTTGTAACTCTTCGCTGAAAACTCTAATTTTCGCAAACATGATATTGGCGGGCACCAAGCCGCAGAGCAGCATAATAAGATTGAGAAAATATTGACTACTGACGCAGTTATTTTTTTAGGGACTGCGTTCTGGACTCTGAGCGATTTAGGTTATTTTGTTTCGATGTGTCGCGTCCAATTTAAGTTCTTTGCACCCTTAACACCTAGATTTTTTTTTACAAAATCATTTGTTTCGAGTGGCGAGTTATCAAGGGTAAAATTGTGGTGCCTGTGATTAAACCGCAGTAGAGAAGAAACTTGCTGTTAAAAACACAATCAGGAAAGTCATTGTAAGTAAATTGAAATTGAGAGGTCCGAAAACACTGCCTTGTGAAAAGCCGAAAAGCACAATAACTGAATTAGAAAAGATCGATTCATTTTTACTCTTTGTATCCTGTCATTCAAGTAATTAGCAATTAACATAACAAATTTTTTTGTCAAAAGCGAGCTTCCGAAGTTTCGTTAACAGGATATGTTGATGCACGCAGTCAAAAGCTTTTTTCTCATCGAAGTAGCTAGGAACACGGGATGCTGGAATGGATATTGTCAGATAGCTCATCAAGATAAGATAGCTTTTAAGTAACAGAGCTCCTATTTTGCATGAACTTTTAGTGTTCAGGATTGATGAAGGTTTTTACTTTCGGGTAGACAAAAAATTAAAAAAAAAAAAACTTTTCAGGATCAAAAATTGTTCGGTAGAATACATATCGACCGGTTGTTTTCAACGTTATTGGTTGAATCTGACTCATGAATAGGAGTATCATAGGAAAATTTCTAGATCGATGGCCATTAAAAAGAGTGTAAACAAGGGGTGATAATACTTGGGCTCCTTCTCTTAGAACGAATAGAGGTATTTCTTCCCCTGTGCAAAAATTTGAGTAATCGCAACTAAATTACAAACTTAGAATTATAGAGCAGGAAAGTTATCATCCACTAGGATAAATTTCATGGGTCTCAAACATCAAAAGTTTGTTGGCAGAAAAAGTGAACCAAAAAACTGATTGAATAAATTTGCTTTTTCTTTATCGGCTTCCGCTGTGTTATCTGATCATTTCATGGTGGCAGGTGATATTGAGTATTTTTCCTTACAAGAATTCAATGGTCGAAAACATTGTTAACTGTCAGCGATATTAACTTTTTCAGAAAGAAGATATTTGTCTAAATCAATCGGTTCCGAAACTTGCAGATTTAGATTCCGCTGAATCAATGACAAACGCAAAGGCCACGATGTTTGAAGCTTCCTTATTTTAGAATTTCTCTTGTTAAACAGATGCATCGTTTGGGGTGAATGAAAGTTTGGCACATTTAATTGACGGTATTAGTTTTTTATACTCGGGGAAGCAATGGTGGTATCTAATAATAGGTTATACCAGCACAAAATGAGTTGTTCGCGAAAATTGGTTAGAAAACTAAGATAATTAAATAACTACTCAGAAGTAAAATAAAGTGCAATGTATCCGAAGAAGCCCGAGAAATAAAAGAAGCCTGGGTGAGGTATTCTGAACGTAATTGCGGTATTCAGTGAGGCACGGTGAAGACAGAAAAAGTACGATAAAGTCTAAGATATCGAGATCCTATTGATTATGGCGTACAAAACTAATAGAAGCAATGTACTAACGAATCTGACAAGATTAATCAATTGAATTCAGTTTCTAGGAAATTCACTGAGCTGTAATAAAAGAGTCAGAATTGTCACCCAGGTGTAGTAAAAGATCTGACTAATTTATTCAATTGAATCCAGTATCCAGAATTGTCACTTGGCTTTTACCATAAAGCAGTATCTCTAAAATCCTTTTTTCAATGGCTCCGTAATTCAGCTCGTTGAACGAAACAGTTCAACGTGAAACTTAACTTTTGACTACGGGGACCGATCGTTTAGCAGACAAATTTTTTAGCATGAAAAGTGAAAATATGCGTCTCTAGCAGACCAACTTAATTAACTGAGGCATGATTCCTTGACACACTCAAAAGACGCTCAGTCTTGGGTCAAGCTTCCCCAATCAAGACAATTACCTCATGATTTGTTCACAAAATTATCAACTTCAAAAATACAACAGTCTAAATTAACGGCAAAACAAACATTTACGCGCACAATAACACTCAAACCGATTGGAAGCGAGCGCAGCGGAGCAAGCGGTCGTTAATCGACAATACCACGTTTGAAGTTAGCATTTTGACTTGCTAATTGTTCTGAGTCTGCTAAAAGGTTGGTCTGCTAGAAAATCGGTCTGTTAAAATCTTTAGCGTCATTGGATACTCAAACACGCAATATATTTCGTCCTATCGAAGTGTTAGCGGCAAATTAAATCATTCTAAATTAAATTGAAGCAGATAACTTAGTTTTATTGATGTTAGCAGACTCCACGTTTGTCAAATCTCCAATATTCAGATAGTCTGTCCTTCGGGACGCCACTTTCAGATTTTTCAGCAGCAAAATATACTTACTGATTTATATATTTTTGCACAGGTTAACAATGTGTTATCCTTTGCAGAGGCAGGTTGCGAAGTTGTGCCAGCATTTTCAAAGTTCATCTTCAACGTTTATTTATTTTCAAGGAATAGTTGTGTATTTTTAAGCTTCTTCGGTCTATGCTTGGCTTCGTGAGGTGCAGTTTCACTTGTCTCAAATTAGGTTTTTTATATATATAAGCAATTGTCAGTTATCAAGGTGCTTGAAATTCAAGGTGGAGTTTTAAACTGCTTTTTAAACTAGTCGTGTCTATGAAATTGATAGTTGAAACAAAAGTAGAAAAAAAACCTTTTTTTTTTGTCCCTGTAAACTTTAAAAACTATTGGCTATGGTGATTTGAAGTCTTGCAAAATGTATAGTAATCTGTTCAGCGTAGTTTTCCGGGTTCTGCGGTCTGTTAGATATGGTTTTTTAAATCGGTATTGCAGATATCGGATCAATCTATATATCAATATATAATCATGAACATGATAACAGTCGCTTGTTATTTTCTTGCATACTTGCATATTAGGTCGTGTATTAATCTTAATTTTTTGTTTGAGTTAGGTACAACTCACTGACAGTGGTCGTGGTGCTGATTGGGTCGGCTGGTGGAACTGCAACTGCACTGATGCTCAAGTACCTTGACAACATCTACAAGAACTTCGCTTCCTCAATGTCCCTAGTGCTCGCATCATTCTGCTCCTTCTGTCTCACTGGTAGTTACTCTGAATCATCTGGTTTTTTTGTTCATTGGATTTATCTGTTATCTTGTCGTTGTTTTTAAAAGTAGAGTATAATATTTAGAACTGATTGGTTAAAATTGTTTCCTGCGAAAGGAAAATTGCATTTTCATTAAAAATATAAGTAAGCTCACGTAACAATTTGGTATCTTCGGGCTGTATATTTGAAAACACCCTGTTAATTATTCGATACTAATATTTTTTCTCTTTTACACAGTCCTGTGAAATTGATTTCGAATCCAGCACACGGCAATTTTTGAAAGGTCAATCATTTCCAAAATTACTTATTTTTAGGTTTAATTATATGCTTATTTGCCGTCTCGCTGTTCTCATTTGCGTTATCGAGCTCAAATTTTACTCATATTTCCTGCTTTTTGACGTCGTTTTTTTGAGGTGTTTTTTTTGGCATCCCAAATCATCATCATCTGATGTATGTTGACAGTGTCTATAACAGTCATCCCAATTATTTTTTTTTGAAAAAATGTACATATGTTTTATTGATTTTCGGGCTTCTCTGTTTTTAGGGCAGCTCTACGGTCCCAAATTTTTCCTAGGATCCTTCTTGGTATGTTTGTCTCTCTTCATTTACCAATCTACTCAGAAAACACTGACCAATAAGACAACTGTGGGATCCAATTCTGCAAACAGGCAACGAAACTTGCCCCTGCCTATGTACATGCCAAAAGAAGTCATTTCGAAAGTGATGGAGCAAAATGATGTTTCAAAAGCGTGATATTTATGATTATGACACTCGTTTTGTTGATTGTGAGAAGTTTTTAAAAATTGCATATTGTATTCTCAAATCTCTAAACCGAGTCAAGTTCGTTTGCTCAGCCAGCAACCATCTCATCAAAATTTTGAGGCATGTGGCTGTTATAACCCGTACGCTGTGACTTGAAGACATCGTTTTTGCTCCCCTCTTTGGCTGACGAAGGTCCAAAATTAAAAAAAAGTGTTCTTGTACAGTGCTTACTTATATATTGCCATATCAACTGTTTTATTGGTATTCAAAACTAATAGTTCTGTACAAAATTTCTTGTGTCAATGAACTCTAATTTGGTTCAGTAGTTTTTTTTGTTGGTATATAACCCAGCCGAAGTATCAACCAGCCGAAAATATGTGATTGTTATATAATAGTTTTGTAACAATTATGTAACAGTTACGAAAATTGTGCAAATTCATTCTTATTTTTGGCTGGCTTATACGCTCCGCGCATTTTCGGTTGGTTTGTACTTAGGCTGGTTTATTTACTCTCGTTTTTTTAAATGAAAGACTTGAAAGAACTTCGTGCGAAAAAATATGGTTTTGCGGCTTTACTTTTGATTTCTTTTCATGTACATACTCATTCATTTGATAAATGGAAGCCAAATTACGCTCTCCTACTACAAAAATGCAAATGGCGCGCAGACGCACTGATAGCTAACTAGCACTGAAATATGATTTTGGATCGATTTGAATCTATTTTAAATCACTTTTCAGTTCCAATCGAAGAGATTAAACACGTCTTCTGTTTATTGATATGGATTTCAAACGGCCGAGCCTTAAAAAATAAGTTTTATTTCAGTGACTGAATAATGCAATTATATCGACTTGGATGGATTTTGGTTATTACTGAAAACCATTTGAATCTCAAATGTCTCGGGAAACTTAATTGGTCGAAAGTTGCTGGGAAATATTTAAAAAGTAAGAGTAAATGGGCATAAAATTTGCGAAATCAAAAAATTCAGTGTATGGAATTGAAAGTGTTTTTGAGTTGTCGGGGAAAGTTAATTTGTCGGACTTTCGTTTCTTTTCTTTTGTTTTGTAGGCTAATTTGCCACATCCCGGATTTTTGTTTTTCTTGTGCTGCAGGAAGTTTTTTTTATGTGTGTGTGCAAATGTTGTTGATTTAACTTCTGTAATATGTAAATTTCCTAGCCCTGGCTTAGCATATTTTTTCTTATTGTTCTTTTTTGGCGTCAAAGCTGTATTTTGGCGTCAAAGCTCTCGTTGCCGGTTGGGAAGCAGGTTGTCCCGAAGACGCCAAGCGCTTTCAAGAAGTGCGGAATTATTATTCGAAGGGTTTAAGCAAACCCGCACAGTATGAATTAGACGAAATGAGTAAGAGAAAACGAGGTATCGTCCTGGAATCATTGAACTGTTATAACGTGGAACTGAAGGGGCGTGAAGAAAAAACTGGGGCACCAGTGCAGAAGAGAAAAGAACCCAAACCATGAAAGAGACAGTTACGCCATCTTAAGAGCCATCAGACTAAAATAAAAATTCTGCGTGACAAGCGTGTCTGTACCTGTTTTTCTTTGGAATTGATATAATTTGTTATATGCATGCCACGTATTTATTATGATTAATATATTTTTTTTAGAACAAGCTTTCCAATCGCCGCGAATCAAAATCTGTGAGTCAACCGTTGCTGATCAGTTGTCTAGTTCAGATGAAGCGCAATAAGTGTGGGGCAGCTAGTGTGGTGCCGTGGGGGCTTTGCCGCAGCAAACTATGAAACTAATTAATGTTAGTTTCGTATGACTAGTTTGCTGCGGCAATGCCCTCACGGCAGCCCACTAGCTGCCCCACGCTTATTGCGCTTCATCTGAACTAGACAACTAATCAGCACCGGTTGACTCACAGATTTTGTTCGCGGCGATTGAAATGCTTGTTCTAAAAAAATGAAAATAAATATTAATAATAATAAATACGTGGCATGCATATAACAAATTATATCAATTCCAAAGAAAAACACACGTACTGGCTCGCTTGTCACGCAGAGTTTTTATTTTAGTCTGATAGCTCTTAAGGTGGCGTAACTGTCTCTTTCATGGTTTGGGTTCTTTTCTCTTCTGCACTGGTGCCCCAGTTTTCTCTTCACGCCCCTCCAGTTCCACGTTATAACAGTTCAATGATTCTAGAACGATGTCTCGTTTTCTCTGACTCATTTCGTCTAATTCATACTGTGCGGGTTTGCTTAGACCCTTCGAATAATAATTCCGCACTTCTTGAAAGCGCTTGGTGTCTTCGGGACAACCTGCTTCCCAACCGGCAACGAAAGCAGGACCATCCAGGGTCAAAACAGAATTTACGCAAAATGCCCGTTGTATCAGTAAACTTGTGGGCTTAGACAAATGCGCGTACACGTTGGATTTCACGCAGCTTGGAGGTCGTTTTTGATTAAGATCCATAAAAGAATTGGTCGTCTGTGAAGATCGAAACAGCCATCGAGATCCAACGCCACGCCTTGCAATTAAAATCAATTTTTTTTGTCGTAAAGGATACACGAAATGCTATCGTCGCCCGCGATCTCAACATGTCCGTCTGTAAACCAAGCTCCGTTGGTTGAGTGTATAGCAGCAGCGCTTTCGGGCAGAAAACAAGGACCATGATTTTGCAGTGAAGCAAGGTTCCTTTCCCACCAACGCAGTTACCCGAGTGGAGTTCAATTGATGTTTTGGGACTACCCTCTGTACGGACCGTTTTGTTATACACGGGCGAAGCTCCTTAACGAATTTTTTTATTTCACTTAACAATTTCTGGTTCTCAATTTCTAGGGGATGCTTCACCCAGCAACTGTTATAAATTGTTTCAAAGCCGTTGCTTCGAGCAAGCTCAGCAAGCTGATCCCACGAACTAATCCCTTCCGAGTTTAGTTTCGGTGCAAGTTTGCATACCCACTGCTGAAGTTGCTGTTCAGTAACACTAGCCTTGAGAATTTTATGCGTTATTCGCACAAGCAAATGATAGTTTTTTGCCATGTGTAAATAATGAATTGCACCTAGCAAACATTTAAAAACAAATCTGAAAATGAAATACATGCAATTATAGCATGCAGCAAACAACAAAATACATTCAAAAACATCAAATATGAACCATTAACGCTGGTGTGCACAATGCACTTTCTATGTTCTGTTTTCGAAAAAAAAATGCTTAATTGGAAAAACTGATTTACAAAATAAATTTTCACAACCTAACCAGTTCATCTAACAAAACAACATTCGATAAAGAACTACAAATTAAAACGTAAATCTACAACTAACAATTATAAACCTAATCTAGCTAAATGCACGCCTAAAAACTAACTTCCAAAACCAGAAGAGAACACAAAAGGGCAACAAAACAAAGCACATGTTCACGCTCTCATCTCCTAATTCTCTCCATTCGTCATCATCTCTCTTCCAACCCTCGCACACGCCCATCAAATCCAATACTTACGGTCCCTCCTTCCTCACGCATAACTACCCGCCACAACAATACATCTTCTCGCCTGTCCACATAACTTCCTCACAAGCAAACACACACCCAACAAACAGCAACAACAAGACAATTTTCATGATTTCAATACTTTCTGGAAAAATAAGCTACAGTTAAAAACGTTTAATGAAAATTATTTAGCACTCTTTGACGTTTTTCTACATAGAATCTGTCCTCTGATTTACTTGTGGCTAGTTTTTGTTACCTATTAAGCGTCCGTGGCAGAGTGGTTAATATGTGCGACTCTTAATCTCTATGTCGTCGGTCAAATCTCAGTTTTAGCCAATCTTTTTTTACTACTTTAAGGCTTAGTTCTAATTTTTCTAAGCCAAAACCAGAATAGTTGTTAAGCTGCTTATTGCGGTGTTATCGCGGGTGCTTGCGAAGCGAAGCTTCGCTTCTGTGTAGTGTTTGAAAAGCGCAACTTGGCCTCTGTGTAAAATTGATTTCAACGCTCAATTTCTTTTTTTAAGTGGGCATGTTTCTTAGAAAGGAATTTGCTTAGGATAAAATCAATACAAAAACATGATAGTTTTCCGTTGATAGCGAAAGCGAAAGTTTACTTGAAAATCAATACAAAAACATGATAGTTTTCCGTTGATAGCGAAAGTGAAAGTTTATTTGATTTGTTTCCCAACTTTCTTCACAAGGGGCTCGTCTGTTTCAGACTCCGAGACTTTCTCCAGTTCTTTTCGGCTAAAACATGTCAGCATGGTTTTATTTCAATTGCATATTGAAACAAAGATTAACCTGTTTCTGTGCAAGTAGCACAGAATGTCCGGATCACATTGAGTTAGGGAAAAATGAAAACAAAGTCATTTTAGGGGAAAAAGTTTTGTCCAAACTTGCTGATATAATTTTCTAGAATAGGTCAAAAAATGAAAGAATGAGTGTAAAAATAGCTAATATAATCTCTAATAGCTAATAGTAATTGTAGCACAGTTAAACTTGGAGGTCAGCGTTCAATCTGACTTCATAATCAAAATGTATTTTAGCCTTGAGCAAATCACACTTGAACAACAAAAAAACAAACACGCTCTCACACACAAACAATTTTTTTGCGCGTTGAATGAACAATATGAGGCCACAAATTCGATATAATATGAGCCGAAAGCTATAAAGCCGAAAAAAAATTAAAAAGCGAAAAAAAACCTTAATAAAAAAATTATCAAGTCCACCTCACCAAAAAATACACTCAAGCACATACAAGATTTTTTTGCTAGTAAAAGAGGCAATATAGGGCCATTAACCCGATATAATACAAGCCGAACAAAAAGGAAACGAAAAAACGGCCAAAAAAAGTGTGATGTGTCGGTTGCTGTTGTTGTTGGTTGAGGGGTACTGTTTACTAAGCGATCATTGCTGGTTGAATGCTTAGTAATTTTATCCTAAGTTATAAGTCTCACCTTAAATCGTCAAATTGTCTTGACAAAAAGTAGAGTAGAAACAATAGTTAGAAAAGGTATGAATTAATTAGTTGGTTAAATACAAAGCCCTGGGTAATTAGATTATATAAACGAATCGAACAGCTTAAAGAAATATACCTATGAGGGGAGGTTGAGTTAATCTTATTTTGTTCATCAATATTTTATCTTCTTACTAAGGTCGATGACTGAGTAGTATTTCTTGGGTTGCCCTTGATTTTGTCCACTTGG